AGGCGAGCCAGGGCTCAAAGCCAGGCTATTCCTCACAGACCTCCCTCCAGTCTAGGTCTGACTATGTCCCCAGACTGGGCAGGGCCAGGCAGGGAGCAGTTTGCTTTTACCAGCAACAGCTCTCTGGGACCAACCCTCGGCCCCCTGGGGCTGGCTGAGCACACACACCTATTTCCTAATGTGGCTGAGGGGAAATGGCTCCGGTATCGAAGCCCTTGGACATTTGGCAAGTGCCTGTTGCTGTATCCTTCCTGCGCTCCTCCCTGGGGCTGGAGGAGGCCCAGCCTGCTAGAGCCAACACTGTAACACAGGCCAAGTCTTCAGTTTCCAAACAGAAAAGAGAAGTGAGAGCGACACTCTCCCCTCTGCCACCCCCACCCCACCCCCAGCAACTTTCTTTCTGTTCTCCTATCTCTCAGCCTTCAGCCCTCCCCAGCCGCTGTTCTTCTACAACGCCCAGGCCTCCAGCCTCAGAGGCAGACCTCCTTCTATCAGTTTGGAGGCACACGGTGGGGCTGCCCCCCACCCTCCTCGCCTCTCAGGGCCAAGGTCAATTCTTGCCTCTTCCTGGAAGCCTGAAGGGATTGCCAGGTCAAGCTGAGCTTGTCCTTCTCAGGCTCCAAGTGTTTATTGCCTGGAATTTATGCTCTGGGTTCTGACTCTTCTTTCATTTATTCACTACTAAATATAGCTTGTAATCTACTCTGTGACTACAATAATAAAATAATAATAGTAATAATAATAATGCCATGAGGAAGACCTTCCCTTACCTCCAGGACCCGGGTACCCAAAGGGGCCTTTTTATGAGATACAAGGACAGGCACTGTTTTAGCAAGACAAGGTAAGAGAGACACCCTCTCAAGAGCTCACCTCCATGCTGCTAAATGTCTTTGTAGCTACTACATCTTGAGGCCAGGTCTCTTGAGGACCCACTCCTCTCCTACCTTCTACCAGCACCCACCTCAAGCCCCTCCTACTGCTGCCTCCCCCACCCGGGATCAGACAAGGGCCAACCGCAGGCGCTGGGAGCCAGACACACAGAGGAAGCAGGACAGGGTGGGTGGAGACAAAGCGCAGGAGAATCCAGGTCTCAGGGGGCAGAGAGGTTTCTGGGGCCCCAGCGAACCACAGGAATGGCCTCATGGTCAAGCCTGAGCATCTGGGCCTGAGGAAGGGCCTGACCCTGAGGGAGGAGCATGGGGACAGATGAGGAAACTGAGATTCAGCAAGGTCAAGTTCGAACTCACACAGCAAGTAAGTGGTATGTTGGGATTCGTACCCAGGCCCGTAGGTCCCCAGCCTACCTCCTAAATGCTGTGCTGGGACTGCCCGCTTCTCACAGCCCAGCTGCCAGTGGCAGGCTCACCGAGGCCCTGTGAGCCATGAATTGCATGTATCCACCGCAAACCCAAGAGCAGAGCACTGAGAGGTCAGTTTTCCTGGGGCCTCAAGGAATCTCCAGACAGCTAGTGCCGAAGGATGGGTTATGACTGTTCACTGAACACCTTCTCCAGGCAGATTGCTTCATGCTTATTATCTCATTTAATCCTCAGGACAACCCCCATGATGGACATTGTTTCCTCACATTTCAAAAGGGTCAAAGAACTTTACCAGAGTCACATACAGAGTAGGTAGCCTGGCTGAGGCCACAAATGCAGGTGTGCAGGCACCAAACCCGATGCACTTTCTTCTGGGAAACGTCAACATCCTAAAGATGGCAAAGTAGAAAAATGGATAGAACCAGCCCCAGAATTTACCAACTCTTGATCCACCTCACCTCTAAATTCCTGCTGAGATAAAGTACTTTCCTTATGATTTACGCCATGTTGAGCGGGGAGCAGGAGAAAGCTTGAGGGGATAATGGAACTATATTTTTATTGTGGTCCTAGTTACACATAGCTATATGTGTATTAAAATTCATAAAACAAAAAGAAACTATAAGGAGTAAGTATGGCATAATGTTAACATTTTTTATAAACTTGGGTAGTCTATTTTTATCTTCATGTTTGAAATATTTTACAATAATAATAAAAAACCCAAAAAAGAGAAGGAAGAAGAGCAAGGGGAGGAGGAGAAAGAGACATCTGAAGAAGTCTGTTTAAGATGCAATGGCTGGAGCTGCTGCAACCATCTTGCAACCATGGAAGGGTCCAGTGTGAAGGTAAGTCTGAGACACAAGGATGGCAAAGCGGAGAGCCAGAGAGATGGTAAATGTCTGTTAGCTCCTGAATCAACCAGAACCTCAAACTAGCCTTCTTTGAGATAACAAATGTGCTTATTGTTGAAGCCAATGTGAGTTGGGGATTTCTGCTACCTGGGTTGAAGACATGGTCACTCATACCAAGTAACGAGTCAGATCTGAAGCAGTAGGACAGCTCCATGGGCAGTGGCAGTACTGGAGGAAGCAGAGGGTCACTGCTGGATGCAGCACGGATTTGGCTAGGCATGAGTCACCAGAAAGTAACTCGTAAACTTGCTAGTTGGTCTGAAGATTCCGGTTTTGCGGCAATGTAAGTCAGAGTCATGTGAATTTCCTGTCTGACGCTCTCACTGATGCAGTATCGGCCTGGGGCCAGGACACGTAGGAATTTTATGCAGTTAGAGCTGCCGGTGTTCAAAACTATACTATGATTTTTTAAAAATCCAATTTTCTGACAGGTCATTGATCCATGTGTTTTGGCTGTTACTTACGCTATCTTCCTTGTACAGATACAGACATCTGACTCTGGAGGCCCAGGAAGGTAGAGCTAAGGTGATGACCCACAGAGACAAGTCTGCCTGTCAACTGACCCACCTGGGGGGAAGAAGTCTTCTCTTCGTGAAAGGCAGTTTGACTTTGACAGGGACATAATCACTTTGTGCCTCTGTTCCCTTGTATCCAAAATGAAGCAGAATTATTCCTCCCTCGTGGGTGGTGTTCAGGCTTGCAGATAATAGATGTGAAGCGTTGGCACAAAGTGGATGCTGTGCATAGCCACTGTCTTCATTCTTAAGCAAGCCGGTGTTCTGGTGTGGATGGGGGCGTGAAGGGAAGCCCTTTAAAAACCAGGCAAAGAGAAGAGAAAAAAACAACTCTGAAGGTCTCACATCCTCCTGGCTCAGCGGGCTGCATCAGACTTTCCTAAAACCGAAGTCGGGGAGACAGGGCTCCAGGGGGCTGACGGAGACCCAGCAGGGGAGAAGCTGGCCTCCCCTTCAAAGACCCTCCCCCCTTCTCTCATCATCTAGGAGACCGACCGAGCTGGCTGCCTAGTGGGGGTACGGCCCACCCAGAGCCTGAGGCTGCTGCAAGGGGAGTGGCAGGAGCGGTGCAGATGGAGACCCAGCTGGAAGGCTGGGGCGGTGGGTGGGAGGCGAGCGTCTCTGCCCCTCCCCCACCACCCTCAGGCTGCTGAAGAACTCGAGCAGGTGTGGAACCCTAACCCCTCAGAGGTCTGGGGCTCTGAATCCCAGTTTTGCTGGCAGCACCTAGCTTCGTGACTGTGGGAAAGACATTTCCTCTCTCAAAGCCTCAGGTCCCACTCCTGTCAAAGAAGGGGTAAAAAGAATATAAAGAAAACTGGAAGAAAACTGTGGAAATGAGCACAGACAACTGCGTGGTGATGGCCAGGAGGAAGGGGGGTGGGGGCTGGGTGGGGGTGGGCAAAGTGGGTGGAAATGGGGACATCTGTAATAGTGTCGATAATAACAATAAATATAAAAATTTAAATTAAATTAAAAAAAGAAAACTGTGGGCGGAGGAAGCAGTGAGATACTCTGCATGTAGAAGAATATTTAGTGCTCAGGGAGAACGTTCACTACATACTGCTTATTGAAAAACAGGAACTTTACAAAACTGACCAGTGTGATCCCATTTCTGTTTGTTAAAACCAAAAGAAACACAGATTCTATTTACCAAAAAAACGGAAGGGGAGGAGAGAAATACTCTAAAACACACTTCTGCTTGTTGTCTCTAGAATGGGGATTACACAGAATTTTTATCTTCTTGGTTCTTTTCTCAAATTTGGGCCGGTGAACATGGATTACTTTAAAAGACAGAGTGACGTTAATAGCTACCATTTGTGTGCTTACCATGCAGGGCCATTGGTCTAAGAAGTGCGTTCTGTGGCTTAAATCCCTTCTGTCTTCACAATCATCCAGGGAGGGAGAGTACCCTGATAATTCCCACGTTTCAGAAGAGGAAATTGAGGTTCAGAGAGGTTAAGGGGCGTGACCAAAGTCAAACTGCCCGAGAGGCAGCGCTAAGATACTGGACTCCAAAATTTGAGCATTTAGTTATTACCACTACTGCTTCTCAGGACAGGGAAATGCTAAAGGCTTTGCTTTCTTAAATGTTTTAATATGGAAACTATCAAGAACATCAAAAGTAGAAAGAAAAATTTTCAGTTATAAAATATGTAAGTTCTGGGGATCCAGTGTACAGCATGGTGACTATAGTTAAGAATACTCTTTCGTATAGTTGGAATTTGCTTAGAGAGTAGGTCTTAAGTGTTCTTAACCACACACACAACAAATTATAACTATGTGAGATGCTGGATGTGTTAGCTTGGTTGTGGCAATCACTCCACAATGTGTACAGATATCATGGTGTTGGATATATACTTCTATTACATATATCAATTATATTTCAGTAGGGCAGGAAAAAATTATAATGAGCCTCGGTGTACCCACCACCCAGAGAGGGGACTGGGGTGCTTTGGGAGGGGAACGATGCCCAGATCAGAGGCTCCCAACTTACACACAGGCACACACCACATGCACACACATCACACGCACCCCACACCTCCCAGGCTCCGCCGCTGGCTGCCTCTGGGATTGTGGCCCCAGCCTCGGTGGGAAACCGCAGGTGGGGAACCACAGGCGGTGCCCTCCCCTCTCCCGCCCTCACCCCAGTTCCTTCCTCCTCTCTGCATTCTAGTGTAACTTGCATTTCCCCAGCCAGCTCCTTTACAGTTCCTGGTTCCCTGCCAAGGCCTCGAGGCATCGCCAGCTCCGGAGGACGAAGACATGGCCGGGGGCCCGGACTGCACAGCGAGGTGGGCAACCCTGGTGGTGCTGGCCGCCCTGGGCACAGCTGTGACAGAGGCCGCCAACCCAGGCGTCGTGGTCAGGATCACCCAGAAGGGCCTGGACTACGGTAGGCCTTCCTGTCCTCCTCTCCCACCCGAGGGACATTTGTTGAGCACCTGCTGTGTGCAGCCCTTTACCTCCAGTGCATGGCATGCTCCCAGCTCCTCAAAGTAGGTCCCTCACCCCATCTTACATATGAAGAAACTGAGACAAGGCAAGTTGCCCTGGGTCACAGGACTGGGAAGTGGCAGAACTGGGACCGGAGTGCTGGGCCCAGAGGACTCCAAGTCCAGTACCCGGGCCCCTGAGGGTCCTCATAGGACCCTCCCTCCCTCTACCAAACCACAACCCCGGCTTCTAGGCCCTTTATTTTCTTCCTAAGCTTGTTCTCAGCCCTGTTATTTGCCTCAAGATTACTGGGCAGAGCTCAGGCAGGGCGGAGGCTGAGCATGGGGCAGGGGAGCATAGAGAGGGCCCTTCTTAAAGGTTCCCCCAGGGCGGGGGCTTGGTGGCCATACTGTGCACATTACCCATGTGGGCGGCCCACAGAGGGTTCCCCAGGCCACTCATCCATCCCCAGATAGAGAAGAGCGGGCGGGAAGCCGCTCCTGCGGACTGGCTCCGATCTGTGCCAGGCACTGTGCGAGGAGCTTTACACACGCGACCTCGTTTCACCTTCATGTCACCCCTTCGCGGGGGGGGGGGGGGGTGCATACTGTTACTAGCAACTTTGCAGATGAGCAAACGGAAACTTGGAGAAGGTACTGGGTGGGTAGGCCAGCGAGCCGCCTGGATTTGAGCTCTCTGGTCTTGTTTGAGGTCCCTGCGTGGGGCCGCTCGATGCTGTCTCCCAGCGGCAGGGAGATGAACTGCAGAAGAGTGAGGCTAGCCCACCCCAGAGAACCCAGACCAAGGAGAAGGCAGAACCTCATCCGCCGGTGCCCAGCTATGGATGGCATCAGGACAGGACGCAGGGGGACTTGGTCCATCATCCCTGAATTCCTAGCCCAGCCCAGGCAGGGCACGTCTGAATCCCAAGGGGAAAGGGGTATGGCCCTGCTGTGAACACAGCACTGCAGTAGCCCCGAAGGTTTGCCAGGAGCAGAGGCTTGGGCTCAGCCTTTGAACCCACAGTCTTCACATTCTGTCACAGCAGCCTCAGGTTCCCCTTCCGCGCACGCCCCGTATGGTAACTACAGCGGGCTTTCTGAAATGCAGCAACTCTGCTCGCGTCCCTCTCCTTACTTAGACTACCATATTTTGCCATGTATAATGTGCACCCACGTTTTTGTGTGCGTTACACACAGGATTATTATACTCATGGTGCATAATCATTATATCCATGTATAATGCACTTCCTGATTTTCCGCTCAAAAATTTGGGCAAAAAAAAAGTGCACATTATACCTGGCAAAAACACAGTATTCAGTGGTTCCCCAGTACCCTGAGGTTCCCTGCCCTCTTTGCCTGGCCTTTCAGACCCTTCAAGACCTGGCCCCTGCAGACCCACAGAGCCCGGCCAGCCCATGTTTTCTTTCCCCTCCAGGCAGGGACAGTATATGTGTTGTTTTCTTTTGAAACCCCAGGAGCCCCATCCCAGGGCACGGGCTCTGGGACCAGAAGGCCTGGACTCAAACTCTGTTTCCATCGCTCATCAGCTCTGTGGTTACCTCTCTGAATTTCAGCTTCCTCATCTGAGAACTAGGGGTAGTAACGGACCTGCTTTCTAGGAGCGTTCTGATTCAGTAACTTAACACACGTGCAGAGCCCAGAACAGTGCCTGGCATAGAATAAGAGCTTGCTAAATGTTTATTATTATTATTATTATTATTACTGTTGTTGTTATTATTTCCTAATTGGCTCTTAGAAAACACAAAGCCCGGGATCCCTCATTTTACATATTACTCTCTCTCAGGTCACGTTTGCCTTTTAATTGGTTCTTTGATGCTACATGTAGAATCCTTGACATTGAGGCATTCATTCATTTACTCATCCAGCAAATACTAAGTGTATTCTAATATAACTACTAGTCACTGTGGTACATTTACATTAGTAAGTAAAACAGACATTGTCACCGGCCTTGGGTGGCGGGAGAGATATTAACCAAAAAGTCACACGAATAAATGCATAATTGCAAACAGTTATGGAAGAGTCCAGGCATCGTGATGGGCCTGCTGGGTCAGAGAAAGTTCCAGAAAAGATGATGGAACAGACAAGAAGGTGACCAGATGAAGATGGGAGGGAAGGGTTTCCTCAGCAGCAGGAATGGCACATGCAAAGGTCCTGTGGAGACATAGTCCAAAAGCTGGAGAGATGGAGTATCTGTGAGGACACAGCACAGAGCTGGGCACAGAGTAGGTGTGCAATGAATACCCATAGGGTGCATGACCGGGCATTGGGCGGGGGGTGGGGGGCCGTGATATTTTAGACCAGGGATGGCACTACAGCCTGCAGCCCAAACCTGGGCCACTGCCTGTTTTTGTACGGCCCAAGAACTAAAAATGACTCTTACATTTTATACGGTTGAAAAAGTCAAAAAAAGAATAATATCTCACAACATGTGAAAATTATGTGAATTTGAAAGTTCAGTGTTGGAAACGTTTTATTGGAACACAGCCACACCCACCATTCACGCATTGTCTTTGGTGCCTTTGGGGCGATTGTGACAGAGACAGTATGGCCCACAGAGCTGAAAATATTTATTCTCTGGCCCTTTACAACAAGCCTTCGCTTGGACCTTCCCAAGCCCACTGTCCCAGCGATGGACAGGGGCCGGGGCGGGAGCCCTGGCCTGCCAGCCCCGGCTCCCCCGCTGTGCCTCTGACAATTGCCCCTGCTCTCCCCCCACAGCCTGCCAGCAGGGAGTGGCTGCGCTGCAGAAGGAGCTGGAGAAGATCGAGATTCCCCCTTTCTCAGGAAGCTTTAAGATAAAGGTTTTGGGGAAAGGTGAATATAGCTTCTACAGGTGAGGCCTGTCAAGCTCAGTCCTCAGTGTGCAGGACTTTGTAATGTTCTGGGGCCACCAAAACCTAGAATCCCAGGGCCACACACTCCTCAACTCAGAGAGGTTAGGACCCAAAAGCCAGGGTTTCACCGTCCCAAGGAGATGCAATCCCCCAAGCTTCCACCAGGGGCAGTGCCTTTCAGGCGCTCACCATGACTCTCTGGGGGATGTATCATGAACCTCAAAACTCTGTGCTAGGCCCATATACCAATCGGGGTTTGGGGGAGGAGGGTTCGGACGGAAAACCTAATCCAAAATGCCTAAGCAGAAATTACCAGCTCTCAGGGTTGCGGTGTTCCTGGAGTATTCTAGCGTCAGGTTCAGCTTCAGACAGAGTCAAATGTCGGTGAATCCTGTTTCTCTCTTGCCACCTCTCGGTGTCACTTCCCTTGGGGAGGTCTAATTTTCAAGTAGGCTGACTCTTCTGAGGGGCAAGATGCCCACCAGCACCATCTCAGCACTGCAAGTCTATGGAAGGAGAGGACCTTCTTGCAATGCATGCAAAGCCCCTCAGATTCACTCTGATTGGTTCATTTTAAGTTATGTTCACATTCCTGAACCAATCACTGCAGTCAGGGGAATAGAATATGCTAATTACCTTAGCGCCCAAATCATAAGCTCTCCCCGCTGAAGAAGGAGGCGAAGCTTGACGTTCTCTGGAGCAACATGGAAGAGTTAAATCATAGTTCTGTTAACACAGTAAGTGGGTGTGGGCACCAGGCAGAAAACCCATAAATGTTCTCTAGAGAATTTTATATACCTATTCACTCAAGAAATAGTTCTGAGCATGTATTGTGTTTCTAACACAGTAGACGTCACTACAATAGTGAAAAAAGGACACATTTCATCCCTTTATAGGACTTGTAGTTAATGGGATAACATTTGTTACCTTTATTGATTGTCACACACCCTAAAAGATGGAGATTATTGTGTCCATTTTACAAATGAGGAAACTGAGGCTCAGAATTATTAAATGACCTCCCCAGGGTTACACAAAAGTAAATTTAAGAGCAGGATTCAAATGCAGATTTGTCTAACTTCAAAGCCTAGCCACTCTGCCCAATGCATGCCCAGGTCTCCCAAGGCTGCCCTCATAGATTCTGGGTTGTCCTGCAATGGATGGAGTGCAGGAACTGGGTGGGAAGCATGAGTCTACAGTAACCATTGGCTGAGTCCTTGTGGGGGCCCCCAGAAGGCTAACAGAAATTTCTTCTTTGCAGCATCGTTGTCCGTGGAGTTCAGCTTCCCAGTTCCCAGATAAGACTGCTGCCCGGTGAGGGCCTTGCTCTCTCCATAACAAATGCCAATGTGAAGATCAGTGGAAAATGGAAGGCACGCAAGAATTTCATGTGCGTTTCCAAGCCCGGGGTTTTTGAGGGTATGGGTAAGCTCTTGGTGATACTTGGAAGGGATGAGAACCAGGATCTCGGGAATGTTCTATTTTTACCTTGCTCATCACTACTTGTACCCACAGGGTTCCTGGTAGAATAGTTCACATAAGATTTTTAAAAACCCTTGGTTAAAAGCTGAATACTTCTTTTTTCTCAGTGCAAGACATGGGCAAGGCAGAGTTACTGCATGTGGCTTAGGATCGGAGGCTAAGTGGACATTTAATTTACCCTTTTATCAGTTAGCTATTGCTGTGTAAGAAACATCCCAACCCGGTGGCTTAAAACAAGTCATATATTATCACCCGCACATTGATGGGTTGGCTGGGGATCCCACATCTATGTTGGGCTTAGCCAAGGTGGCTCTTCTCCACCTGTATCTCACCCTCCTTTCTGAACCATTGGGCTACCCAGAGCATGTGCTTGGTGATGGCAGAGGGGCAAAAAGGGCCACAGGAAACATGAAGGTCCCCTTAAAGGCTAGACTCAAAACTGGCCCATATTCATTTCTATTCATATGCCATTGGCAAAAGCAAGTCACATGGCCATACCCACGGTCAAGAGCATGGAAATATACACCATCCCCCACATAGCTGATGACATAGGCAATGGCAAGGGAGGGGTAAAAAATTAGAGCACATCCCCCAAACTATAATTCTGAATCTAAATATTGGGCTCTCATCACAGTGGCCCTTTCCACTAGTGACAGTGGTTCCAATCACTTTAGCAACTTCTCGCCTTTGTGGGGAATCCAGGGAGAAAACAGAGAAGTCACTTTGGTGAGGAGAAATGTGTGGATCTGCCCTCCCTTACAAGGACTGCTGGACTGTCTATTCTCCGCAACAGTGGTTGCTTAGGTCTCCACTTGGGCTCTTTTCTATCCATCATTTCACTTACTGATCACACACACAAAAATTACCTTACTTCATCACACTATAGAAGGGTTGACAAACTACATTCATATCCACCGTCTTGGTCAAAACTCATTTCATCCCCGAGGGGGGAGTTATGAACCCCACTTAATGAACCAGGGCATCCCTTAACTAAAGTCATTGACCCCAGACCCCCGGCTTTTCACTGGCAAAACTGGTGCCCCACTGCAGAAGCAGGGTCTGGATAAGGACACTGCAGCTCAGAGAGGCAAAGAGACTCTCCCAAAGCCACACAGCCTGGGCAGAGGCTGAGGCAGTGGCGAAGGGCAGGGTTCCGCCAGGTAGACACGGGTTGAAACTCCAGATTGGCATCCTGGATCTTTCACTCAGCTGCGGTGTGACCTTGGGCAAACCACCTCCCCCTCTGAAATCCATCTCCTCACCTGGAATGGTGAGAATAGCAAAACCTGCCTTCTAACATTGACGCGAAGTTCAAGTGGCAGTGGGGTGCTGCTTATTCCAAAGTCTTTTCTCTTTGTCTCCCTTCAGCAAAGCCAGAGGCAACTTCGACCTGAGTGTGGAAGGCATCTCCATTTCGGCTGGTCTGAAACTGAGCTGCGACCCCACCTCAGGCCACTCCACTGCCACCTGCTCCAGCTGTAGCAGCAACATTGACAGAGTCCACGTGCATATCTCAGGCAGCCACCTGGGGTATGACCTCCTGGGGCTATGGATGGCAGGAGGGACATCGAGGAGAACTATCATAATCATCCCTGTGTTTAGAAAACATGTCCTGAGTGCCACCTCCCTGCCAGGCCTTGTTAGAGGCCTCAGGTGCAGGGGAAAGACAGGGGTCCTCGATGGGGCAGACCCTGTTCCTGCCTTGAGGAGGGTCACTTGTTCATTCAACATGCATTCAGCAGACTTTACTGAGCTCTTACTCTTGCCCCTGGCTCTGGGTTAAACACTGTGTATGCACTAAGTTATACAATCCTTACCACAAAGCCGTAGGCATCCAGCCAGCCAGCCAGTCAACAAATACCTGCTAAGAATGCTACGCACCAGTCTTAAGCAATATGCCCAGGAAACAACAGTGGCCAAGACCAATCTAGGTTACAGTGTGCCCCGCACTGTTTCAGGCATGTGTGTCACCTCATTCAGTTCACACAATGACTCAGCGGTTAGTCCGTTAGTACCCCTTTTCTGGGGAGACAGCCCAGGCACAGACAGGGAAGGAAATAACCTGGGCTTTCATACCGAGTGATTATGGAGAAGGGACTCAGCCCAAGACTATCTGCCCCAGATGCTTAGCCACACAGTCCCTGTTCTCTTGAAGCTCCCTGCCCCATGGAAAACACAAGCATTAACCAACTGGTTGCGTTAATGAGTGACTCACAAAGAATTTTAAAAGGATATAAGAACTAAGAAAAAGAGGTACAGAATGGGGCAAACACATAGAACAGGAGGACCTGACCTAGTCTGGGGGCTGGCTGGTTCTTCCTTGATGAAATGACGTTTGAGCTGAGATGAAAAGCATAAGTAGGAGTTAATTAGGTAGTTGTTGGGGACAGAGCGTGTTTCAAGCAGCAGTAACTGCACGTGCAAAGGCCCTGGAGTGGGAGGAAGCACAGGGCACAAGAGGATCTGGCGGAGCAGTGAGGTTGGAGAGCAGAGAAGAAGGGGCGTGGTGAGGAACGAGGCTGAGACAGGACAAGGGCCCACCGTGCCCCTATTGAAGAAATAATCTCATAAATGGGCCACTGTGCCCAGGAGGAGAGATGCCTAAGGGAGCGTGTCCAGCTACATCTCAGGGACAAGGGTGACTAGGCTGATTTGGAGGAGGGAGGAAGGATTCCCAGATGAAGCAGCCCTCCCAGGGCAGACCAGAGACACCTGGGAAGCTTCATGCACGTCCCCATATGTCCATCTCTAGGTGGCTGATCCAACTCTTCCAGAAAAAAATTGAATCTTCACTCCGAAAAGCCATGGACAACAAGGTAGGAGGGGCGCAGGCTGGCCTCGCCGGTCCGAGCGGGAGGGGCCCTCCGTGCCCACACGCCCCATGCACGGCTGATAGCTTCTGCTGCGGCCGACCATCCCACAGCCCCTCCAGCCCTTTGAAACCACAACTTCAGCTCCAAAAAGCAGGCATGTCTATTTTTCTCAGGGTCCAGCAACAGACCAAGAAAGGGTCACATCACACACACACAGCAAATGGCCACATCGTCTTGGATCACCTGCGCTCCCCTCCCCCATTTGTCCCTGCAGAGAAACTGCCATCCTCTCCCACCAGTCCTCTCTCTCATAGTACTCTGGCCTCCTTGCCCATCCCCACTCCACCCCACCCCACCCCACCCCAACCCCAGTTCTTGGTGCTCCCCACCCAGAAAATGTGCAATTGTTGATGCGGCCAAACTATTCCCCGAGGCTGGAACTGGTATGAATGACAGGCATGGCCAGTCCTCCAACTCTGCCTTCACGCTAACCCCCTGTCCCCAGCCAGCCTCTTCAGCAGAGAAAAGGGGCCATTCATTGGGCTGGCTTTCCACTAATAAACCATCAGATTGCAGGAATCCCCAGAACTCATCTCACAAGCCCAGTAAGCTTGGGCTTTCTTCTGAGGGCACTGGGGAGCCATTGAAGGTTTTAGGCAAGGGGGTGACCCAACCAGGGCTGTACTTTAGAACAATCTCTCTGACTGTTGTGAGAATGGCTGGCTAGGCCAAGAGCAGGGGCAGGAGTTTGGGGGAGACTGAGGAGGCTGTGCAGTCTCCCAGAGAGGAGATGTTAGTTTCTCAATCAAAGACACTGATAATATGGGTAGGGAGAAATCAATCAAATAGGACCATTTATTTAAAGGCACTGTCAAAAGTTTGTTTTATTTTTAAATCAATGCATAGTTATCAAAATGTATAGTACAATGGATTATATGATAGCTTTTAGAGTCAGAATTTCTGGGTTTTAATCCTGGCTCTAGGGCAGAACTAGACGTGTAAACTTGAGCAAATTACTTGTCTTTTCTGAACCTCAGTTTCACCATCTGTAAAATGAGGACCTAATACTTTTTACAGCAAGCTGTCGTAAGGCCTACTGAGATAATGCAGGCAGGTGCCTACCCACCAGCCTGGAGGACCCAGAATTCAACTGTCGTTGTAACTAAGTAATAGTATGAGGGGAGTGTTAGCATATATTTAATATTTGGAACTATTAAAACAGATTATTTTCTTGGTAACATTTTAAGAGTGGCCCCGCAATAGCAGCCAAGCTAAAAAACAATAATACTGCTGCTCGTGGTGAAGATGGCGGTGGTGAAGATGGCGGTGGTGAAGATGGCGGTGGTGAAGATGGCGGTGGTGAAGATGGTGGTGGTGGAGATGAGGGTGGTGAAGATGAGGGTGGAGAAGATGGAGGTGGTGAAGATGAGGGTGGTGAAGATGAGGGTGGTGAAGATGGAGGTGGTGAAGATGAGGGTGGTGAAGATGAGGGTGGAGAAGATGGCGGTGGTGAAGATGAGGGTGGTGAAGATGGCGGTGGTGAAGATGGCGGTGGTGAAGATGAGGGTGGTGAAGATGGCGGTGGTGAAGATGAGGGTGGTGAAGATGAGGGTGGTGAAGATGGCGGTGGTGAAGATGAGGGTGGTGAAGATGAGGGTGGAGAAGATGGCGGTGGTGAAGATGGAGGTGGTGAAGATGGAGGTGGTGAAGATGAGGGTGGAGAAGATGGCGGTGGTGAAGATGAGGGTGGTGAAGATGGAGGTGGTGAAGATGAGGGTGGTGAAGATGAGGGTGGTGAAGATGAGGGTGGTGAAGATGGAGGTGGTGAAGATGAGGGTGGAGAAGATGACGATGGTGAAGATGACGGTGGAGAAGATGACGGTGGTGAAGATGGTGGTGGTGAAGATGAGGGTGGTGAAGATGAGGGTGGTGAAGATGGTGGTGGTGGAGACGAGGGTGGAGAAGATGGCGGTGGTGAAGATGGAGGTGGTGAAGATGGCGGTGGTGAAGATGAGGGTGGAGAAGATTACGGTGGTGAAGATGGAGGTGGTGAAGATGAGGGTGGAGAAGATGACGGTGGTGAAGATGACGGTGGTGGAGATGAGGGTGGTGAAGATGGCGGTGGTGAAGATGGAGGTGGTGAAGATGGCGGTGGTGAAGATGAGGGTGGAGAAGATTACGGTGGTGAAGATGAGGGTGGTGAAGATGATGATGGTGAAGGCAGAGTTCTTACAGTGAGCTGAGAACTACATTTAGGGCTCTTTACAAGGATTCTAGCATTTCATTTGCACAAAATCTTTACTTTAAGGGTTATTTTAAAACAGAATATCCCTATTTTAAAGATGAGTAAACTGAGACACACAGACAGAAAGACAGTGCTAGGTTGCAAATCCAGGCCACCCCACCTCAAAGGCAAAACTTTTAATCATAACAAGATATTGTTTAGAAGAGAGTACGGGTCTGAATGAATGGATAGATGGATGGATGAAAGAATAAATTAAGTGACCAGGTGTCCATGATGCCAGGAAGGACTGGAAACGGGGAAGAGTGAGCGGGGGATTGGACTCCCAAGGAACCCAGAGTGAAGGGTGGTATTAGAGGAAAGAGTCTATGTCAAGTTGGGGTAGGGTGGGATGGAGCCAGGGAAGAGCGAGGCAGCAGCAGGAAGCCAGGCTCCAGGCTGTGATGTGATTTGCTGTGGTCTGGAGCCATCTGGAGGCACATGGGTGAGTGGCATTGGACATCAGTGGCCGGTGGGCTGGCAACCCAGGTGTCCAGCTGGTCCCAGTTGCCAGATGTGCTCCGTCTCCCAACCTTGGGCCACTTGGATAGAGAGAGGTTCCTCAAAGAATGACATTCTAAGTCCTCTTGGAACAATGAAGAGTCTCAGGTGATAGAAACACACTTCAGGAAACCAAATTTTCTCCCTCCTTATTCCTCTCCTTTTCTCTCCCTTTCCCCGCTCTCTCCCTCCCCCAGATAAAATAATTTGACTGACTAAGGAGAAGAAGAGAAGTGTGAAGGGTGTCCTCTGGGCAGACAGGGTGGGGGGACAGCCCTGAGGAGCACTAAGAACCTGAGGGGTTTGTTTGACACAAGTTGGCCTTGGGGGCCTGTGGCCGGGAGGCAGCAGGGTCCTCAGTCCTGCACTCATATAGGAGGCCTGGGCTGTACACTCCAAGGTCTGGGTGTTGGCCACATGACGGCAGCACGGAGGAGGTGGCTTTGCTTGGGTCCCCGCCCCTGGCAGGTGCTTAGACAAAGATTCAGGTGCAGGAAGCTAATCGGGAGGGGACCCCAGGCAGCACAGCCAGGGAGCGGAAGGCAGCTGGGACATTCTGAGGGGGCTAGTGCTGGGGACACTGGGGCTCAGTCCTGCGGGCGAGTCTCAGAGGAGCTGTGGGGCACATGCCTCAGAACTGCCCCAAAGGAGTGAGGAAGCTGGGGCATTTATCCACCAACCCTCAGTGCTCTTTGGCTGGGCTGTTTCTGGCACGATAACTCCTTGGCACTTGGGAGCCAGAGAGAAAGTGCCCAGGCAGGGAGAGCTGCCTGGTGTGTGGGGAGCTTTCACACCAGGTGCAGGTGGCCTCCGGGTGGACCCGGCAGGGCCAGGGGTGTGCATGGCATGGCTCCAGAGAGCATATGAGTGCAAGGAGCAGGGAGCCCAGAAGGGAGCCCCGAGGAGCTCTGATATGCAAGAGGGAAGAGGAACTCTTGAGGGTGTCTGGGGAAGAGGCAATGAAGGGACGGGCGGAGAACAGGGCGAGTGCTCCATCCCAAGACTGCAGGAGGAGAATTTCTAGGAGACGGCGGCCCACCTGCCAGGGGCGGCCCAATGTCAAGGAAGGCAAGGACTGGGGAGACTCAGTTGGATTAATGCAGCAAAAGTCACTAAGACTGGGGCACGTCCTTATTGTGAAGGTAGGAACTTATCTGACTACCTCCTCCTTCAGCCTCAATGCTTTCAAGTTAGGGAAGGCTGTGGCTTTAATCTTGCTTTCCAGCTCTGTATGGCTTCAAAACAAATAGCCCCAAATATAGTGTCCTAAAGTAACTCCCAGTTTCTAATGCTCATGCAGCCCACGAGTCAGGCAATCGACAGGCTCGGCAGGGCGGCTTAGCTCAGCGCTCCTCCTCGATGCCTGGGTCTCATCTGGGAAAGACCCCAAGCTCAGGCCTTGGCGCCTGGGCTGGGGCTCATGACCTGAGCAACTAGCCGTGGCCTCTCCATGGAGCTGGACAGCATGTCGCTAGGTCCCCAGAGGAAGCTACCAGAGAGGCAGCGTTTCAAGAGACCGAAGTGGAAGCCGCGGAGCCTTTTGTGACCTGGTTTCTGAAGTTACACAATGTCACTTTTGCGGTGTTCTGTTGGTTAAAAGCAAGTCACCATGCCCACCCAGATTCCAAAGGAGAGTTCACAGACACCACCTGTCGATGGGGCTGTGCCAAGAGCACATGCCAGAGGAGCAATTGGAATGGGAAGTACGACCCACCACATTCCATTTTACAGATGAAAAAATAGAGGTCTAGAGAAACGGAGTTATGTCCTCGGTGGCAAAATCAGCACGTGAGCCAGGACTTCTCAGACTTGTTCTTGTTTCCTTGTGAGTCATGGGACTGGCAGGGACGGTTCCTCAGGCCATTCTCGGCAAAGGGAGGGTCCCTTCCTTCCCCCCCAGAACTGAGCAGAGAGTCTGCCCCTGCTTTCAGAAGCACAGACAGGAGAAGGCTGATTGCTGACAGCTTCTTGTTTACTTTTCACTCCCTCATTCCACAGAGAATCTGAGACAGCGAAAACAAATGGATGAACACAAACCAAAAAAGTCCCACACCTAAAAAATGGAAAGCATAAATAGCCATTAGGAAAGTTCCACACTAGAGTAGGGAATAAAATGCAGATAAGCAGGTCATCCAGTTATACACAGTTACTATTTCCAGGCTATGCGCTGAGCTCCAAGTTTCCTGGTGGCGAAAGAGAAAGGGGAAACTTGATAGTTACATGATTCTCAAGGAAACATTCCAGGAGAGCAAAACATGTCCCGATGGTTATTCCCAGAGAACATTTTACACTATGGACGTCCACACTGACCACTTCTTCTGTTCTCCCCAGATCTGCCAGGTAGTGACCAATTCTGTATCCTCCAAGCTGGTACCTTTTCTTCAGACAATGCCAGGTGAGTGCTAGATGGGGTCGAGGAGACTCGGATAGAGCGGGTAGAGAGGTAAGAAGACAAGGAAGAGTGTGACGGAGCTGGCAGGTTTTCCAGACTGGCCGAGCCTGGGTGGGAATGGGTAGAACAGGTTATGTTCAGATGGCAGTTGGCATTGGATCCCTGCTGGGCCAGGCCCTTGTGGCAGACCCAGCGGTGAGGTGGGAAAGCAGCCCAGATCCGCTCATTCTCCTACCCCTGCAGGGTCCACACAACCAAACACCCACAGCCATCTGAGGCCAGACTCACATAACTGGCCTGAGGTCTGAGGCTGATCATTCTGGCTCTCTGGGCCTCAGTGTCTGTATCTTTAAAATGGAAACAATTTCCTCTATCCCCAAGTGCTGGGTAATCTGTGAAGAGCCACGGTAGGTGCAGGAGGACCCCCCTGACTGAATGCTCAACATGTGCCTTGCATCCAGCAGAATTGTCTCTTCTTGTCCCCACCCCACCGAGTTTGTCTATTCTCCCAATTTTATCACGAGGAAATGGAGACTCAGAAAGGACCCACGGCAGTTGCCCAAGGTCATAAACCCAGTGAGAGACAGAAGCAGGGTCCAAATACAGGTTTTCTCACTCCAGAGCCTGAGCCCAAAACTGCTGCTGGCCCCCCTCCGTGGGAAGCCTGGCATGGCGGGCACACGGTTTATGCCCATTGATGATGCATTACCTTCCTCCAGGCTACCCCGGGCCCCTCTAGGGGCAGGGCCCATCCTGGGGACTTTCGGTGCAGCTGAGTGTCCGAGGTTTGGCCTCACCAGGCAGGAAGTGCAGGTTCATTTAAGTCGCAGCTCTGTCACTCACCAGCTGTGCCATCTTGGACAAGTTGCCATTCTGGGGCCTTTGACATGGGAAGGAAGGGCTGAAGGAGGGGCCGATTTTTATTGCGTTGTCATTGACTACTGCTGGGAAAGAGAGAAACAGTTCTGACTTGAGCCAGCCTGGGCTCAACCTGGGACATTATCGCTGCTAATATTTATGCCTTTTGGCTTTTGAGCCCCATTATGTGTAGGGCATTGGGCATATACCGCTCATTGAATCCTTCAGCACCTATGAGTCATCGGTATTACCCCGTTCTACAAATGACAAAAAAGTGACTCGGAGAAGCAAGAAAAGTGACATGTCCAAGGTCACATAAAGTCCGACTCAAGCCCAGGTCTCTCTGCACCTTGACCTTGTGTTTTAGCTTCATCCAGGGCTGTTGGAAGGAGGAGGGAAGACGGTGTCTGTGAATGTGGGGTTTGGGTTCATTTTCCTTTAAAGGGAACTCAGGGCAGGCTCTCTGGGAGACACAGAAATGGAACGAACCCTGCAGGTCTTAACTCAACTTTAGGGGATGCTGACCCTGCATCAAAGGCTCCAAAGATGCTGCCATGGGGAGCCAGCTCATGGTCCCTCTTCTTTCCCTCTAGTGACGGCCAAGATAGATAATGTAGCTGGGATTGATTACTCGCTGTTGGCACCTCCAACAGCCACGGCTGAGACCCTGGATGGGCAGCTGAAGGTGAGACTTATACCGAGAATCCTAAACCCTCACTTCCGGGCTCCCCAACATCCTTGGAGACAAATCTTACAAAGACTCCACCCCCTTCCTCTCTGTCCTCAACCACCCTGCCACTCCACTCTCCGCATCTCCTCCCTGCTCCGGCCACACTGGCCTCCCCGTCATTCCTGAAGCGCACTCCACATTCCACCCGCTTTCATCCCGGCGCCTTGGCACGTGCTGCTCCTTGTGCCCAGGAGGCTCTCGTCCAGATATGCACATCTGCGTTCCCTTCCTCCCTTCAGGTCTTCACTCAAACAGCCTCCCGCCCTGGGGATGCCACTCGGACCACTGTCACTAAAATAGCTCCCTCCTCTAGCCCCGTATCTTGCTTTATTTTTCTCAGCAGCATTTATTACTAACTCACACACACCTACGCACACCGAGTCACTCACTTGGATGAAAGAGAAGGGGCTGTCACTACTTTGTTCTTTTTTGTACGTGCAACACCTAGAACTGTGCTTGGCATATAGTAGGTGTTTAATAAATATGTATCAGTTGACTGGATGGATGGAGCTGCATTTCATACTACTTCCCCCTCACTCACCACCGTTCACAGACACAGTGGCTTGCGCTTCTCAGCACGTCAGGTTTGTTCCCTCCTCAGGGACTTGGTCCTATCCAGAGCCCCCCCCCCCCCGCCCCCGCCCCCCCCCCCCCCCCCGCCTGAACTCTCCTCCCTCCCAGGCCCGCCCCTTCCCGCCGGCTTCTCCCTTAGCGGCCTTCCCTGACCCTCCAGCTGCAGCAGGTCCCACTCCCTCCCCCCACAACCAGCCATTGGCTTGTTTGTGTACTGCCTACTTGTTAGTTCCAAAACACATTTGATGTAAAAAAGAAAATTTAGAAACTACATAACAGAGAGAAATAACTAGGACGAAAGGGAGGAAGAGACAGAGAGAGACAGACAGAGAGAAAGATTCCCCAAATATTACAACTCAGAGATATGTACTATTGACACACAAGTTAGATCCCTCCAACACCCCAATCCTAGTCTATACCAAGACTGAAACACATATACATACACACACATAAAAGATGCAGAAACAAATATACAACAAAACCACATGTAGAGACATAAAAATAAGTACACACATTTTTACATGCTTTATTTTTCTTATTTTATTTATTTTATTAAAAAATTTTTTATTTATTTTATTTACTTATTAAAAAAAATAAATTTATTTTATTTTTACATGCATTGGACCTACCGTTTTACAACTTTTGAAAAACAAAACAGTGTAATGTGAGCCTCTTTCCATAATGTCCTCCTTTGTGTGGCCCTTTAACTGGCTGCTGGGTCTTTCAGGGGTCAGCTTGTGGGAAGGTCAGTGTCCCCTCCTGGGATATTTGGGGTTTTTCTACTTTTTCCCCACAAATGTAACCAGAGCTGCAGTAAACATTTTTGTAGCTGGATCCCTGCCCAACCTTGGATATTTCGTAGAAGTGAAATTGCTGGACCAAATAGCATGCTTTTTAAAAAATCTAAGTAATGCAACAGAATAAAGGATTTAGAGGATCCATAATTAGCTCTAGTGAATGAGGGATGAGAAAGTCCTGTTTGCTGTCCCCCACCAAGCGGCCGGCCGCCTGGCAGGCTCCTGCCCGGAGGTGATGACCATCAGCTCTGGTGAGTTGGGGAGGGGAGGTGTCACCTCCCCAGTTTCCTGGTTCTAAGCATTCGAATACACATACTGAAAACCCATCTGGATTTTCCGATGATCCATTTCCCTGAGTGGCTCCACACCGTGCTTCCACTTGACTTTGTCACCTAACTGTATGTCTTACAGATGAGTCCTCACTGGTACATAGGCCCATCCTACTATTTTTAAGAGTCACATGATAATCTCTAATCTCTAATAGGGGAGTCATGGCTGCTAATTTTCAATGATGAACTGATTCAACAGTACAGAGAATATTATACACACTCGTGTACCACCACTCAAATTTAAGACATGTTGCCACTTTGTCATACTCTCTTCTGATTTTTTTAAAAATTAAACATTGTAGAAATAAATAGCTCAGACCCCCAGGACCCCCTGCCCAGACATGTCCACCCTAACTCCCTGAGGGAACCACACTGATGACCCCAGAGTGTGTCCTTCCTGCCTGTGTTTTTATACTTTTACTCCATAACTATGTGTGTCAGTAGTTCTTATACAGTATGTTTTACAGGCCTTTAAATTCTATATAAATAGGATCTTACCACATATATCCATCTACAATTGGTTTCTCTATAACTCAACATCATTATTTTTTTAACTAACTAAATTATCTGCTTTTGCAGTGTGCTGCTAAATTGCTCTTTAGAAACATATAAACATATATTCTCCAACACATGGGAACACTTTTACCAAAACCTGGATAATATAGGTCTAAAATACAAATATACTCCCAACAGCTCACCTCGCTCTCTTAGATGATTGCTAATTGAATAGATGAAAACAAACAAACAAAAACAAACAAACAAACAAAAAACACCCAGAAACTGTTGTCCTTTTGGTAGAGTCCCTGAGCTTCCCGGCAAGGCTGAGGCAGAGCCCGCGGACGGTTGGGAATGTGCCGCTGGACGCTACACGCCCAGTTTCACGCCCGGCTCTGCCACTTACCCGAGTGACCCGGGGCAAGTCACTTCACCTCCCTGCGCCTCGGGGTCCCTCCTGTACAAGGAGTATGACCACACCTACCTCACAGGGTGTGCAGACCCCAATACCCAGGAGACGTTTGATGCCAGCGTTGGTTTCTGGCCATGACTTCCTTCTCTGTAAGCGTGCGGTTGGTGGCCTCAGCTCCTGTTTTCCTGGAATGGGCACGTTGAATTACAATAATTCCTGAAGGATGCCCAGGCTCACTCTCTTGTCGCCGTCCCCAGGGGGAGTTTTTCAGCCTGGCCCATCGCAGCCCCCCTCCCTTCACCCCGCCGGCGCTGGTCCTCCCCGCCGACCACGACCACATGGTGTACCTGGGCATCTCCGACTACTTCTTCAACACGGCCGGGCTCGTGTACCAGCAGGCGGGAGTCCTGAACCTGACCCTCAGGGACGACATGGTGAGTCCGGGCTGGGAGTGGATGTGGGAAGAGCAGCAGACAACCTGGATTTGAGTCTGTGCGCACTGGGGAGATCAAAGTGTAGACTCTAGAGTCAGCCAGACCTGAGTTGATGTATTAGCCCCCTCTTTCCAGCTGAGTCACCTCCGGCCGGTTCCTCAACCTCTCGGAATCTCAGTTTCCTCATCTGTAAAACACTAATAATTATGTCTACCTCCAGAGGAGGCGCTGAGGATTAAAGGAGATATAAATGCATGAGAAGCCCTCAGCACAGGCTCAGCGTGCAGGAAGAACGAGATGAGTGCTCCAGGGAATAGCCAGCGCTGACGGAGTACTTGCCTTCTGCCAGGCTCTGTAAGCCGGTCTTAGCACCCATGTCACCGTTATTGGCGTGCCATCCTCATTGTCTCTACATACTCATGGCTGAGTCCGGTCCCAGAACTCAGTTAACCCATCCTATGCCACTCCTGGAAAAGGTGTCATATTCTCCCTCCCTGAGGGACCACAGGGAAGTTGAGCCCCCACTGTCCCCTGTGGAAATAAACAAAGACCACCGAAATGAGAACTCTTCCGGTCAAGGACGTCAGCCGTCATCGCTTGCATTTGGCAAAGACTCAAAGACAGGCAGGGGGGTGGGGAGCTTCTAGTGCTTCAGGTGTGTGCTTAGGGAGGTTGCTGGATGGAGAAGCTGGATGTGGGTCAAGAGAAGCTGGGCATCCTATATGATTTCCTTAAGAGAGCAGCTGACTTTTTTGTGGCAAAAAAAAAAATTGGGAAGCTAGCAGTCACTGGGCATGTCCTCACGGTTCCAGGGTGACGGCTGCAGAAGCTGTAGGTCAGTGTTCTGTGGTCGTATATGGTCCGGCCATTGTCTGTATAGTCAGTCTCTCACCCCTCATACAGAATTTGTTCTCCCAATCTATAACATAATCTCCCAGAATCTTTTTCTCTTCTTCTCTTGCTACAGATTCCAAAGGAATCCAAATTCCGACTGACAACCAAGTCCTTTGGAACCCTCATACCCCAGGTGAGAAAAGGCCTGCCCTGCTGTTGTCAGCTCATGAGGCGGCCTGGGGGTGCTGGGAGGTCAGGGCTCTGCCCAGGGGCCGGATGCAGAGGCAGTCCAGCCTGGGAGAGCGGCCGCAGCCTTGCGCAGCCCACCCCCAAACAGAGGAAGGCTCCCAGCAGCGAGGGTCTCAGGTGCGGGAGCGGACGCTGGGGCTCGTCCCTTCAACAAGTATTCAGTGCCTGCCACGTGCTGGGTGTCCAGCAAAACAGACCATAGCTCTGCCCTCCTGGGGCTCCAGCCCAGTGAAGAGAGAAAATTATTAATTATTCAGGCATCCAAAACAATAAGAAGGAAGGAAGGAAGGAAGGAAGGAAGGAAGGAAGGAAGGAAGGAAGGAAGGAAGGAAGGAGAGAAAGAAAGAAAGAAAGGAAGGAAGGAAGGAAGGAAGAAAGGAAGGAAGGAAGGAAGGAAGGAAGGAAGGAAGGAAGGAAGGAAGGAAGGAAGGAAGAGAAAGAAAGAAAAAGAGAAAGAGAAAGAGAAAGAAGGAGAAATAAAGAGAGAGAGGGAGGGAGGGAGGGAAGGAAGGAAGGAAAGAAGGGAGGGAGGGAAGAAAGGAAGGGAGGAAGGAAGAAATGCAGACTGTGAAAAGGGAAGCCAACAAATTGATGAGATCATGTTAGACGAGTTGGCCAAGGGAAGCCTCTCTTTCAGGCCTAACCAAATGCCGCAGACTGGGTGGCTTAAACATCAGAAATTCACCTCTCACTGTTCTGGTCCCAGATCAAGGTGGCAGCACATTCAGTTTTGGGTGAAGGCTCTCCTCCTGACTGGTAGATGGCTGGTTTCCTGCTGTGTTCTCAGAGGGCCTTTCCTGTGAGCACGGAAAAAGAGAGTGAGCTCTCTGGTGTCTCTTCTTATATGGAAGTGAATCCTATCAGATCAGGGCCCCAACCTTACAACCTCACTCAATCTAAATGACTTCCTTAGGGTTCTCTGTCCGAATACAGCACACTGGGGGGTCAGGACTTCAATATATGAATTTGGGGGGGGACACAAACATTTAGTCCTTAACTGCCTCTTCAGTGGTGAAAATTTTATACAGGAGGTACTGGCGTGGAGGAAGTATGACCAATTAGGTGGCCAGAGAACTGCCTTGAAATTGAATTTGCATAACGATCATGTTATTTTTACTCAGACTCTTAGTTTCCCTGGGGGAGGATTGGAGACCAGCAGAGATGGGGTGTCACCAAGGCCCTCTTCATTGCCCCTTGAAGCCAGCACTGCTTTCTGAGATGACATTTGAACTAAGACCTGAGGGAAGGGAAAAGGCCAAGCTAGGAAAGAATGGAGGGATAAGCATTCATGGAGAGGGAACAGAGTGCAAAGGGCCTTAGGAAAAGAGCAGATCGTACTTGTGGAGCAAGAGTCCATTGTGGCTGGCACTGGAGGTGTACAGAGTGAGGTTGGCAGGACACCAGATGCCCAATCACACAGTCTTTAGAATTTAGTCAAAATGCAATGGGAAGCCCTGGCTGGTGTGGCTCGGTTGGCTGGAGCGTTGTCTAGTAACCAAAAGCTTGTGGGTTCAATTCCCAGTCAGGGCACATTCCTAGGTCGCATGTTCAATCCCCGGTCGAGGTGAGTATAGGAGGCAACGGATCAATGCTTCTCTCTAAAAACAATGAAAAAATGTCCTCAGGTGAGGATAAAAGAGATAAATTTTTAAAAATGGAATGGGAAGACGTTGGAGATGTGTATGCACAGCCAGGACAGGATAGGATTTAGAGACATTCAAATAAAATTGCCCCTTTTGTTGGTTGTCCCCGCTGGGGTCTGCAGGTGGCCAAGATGTTCCCCAACATGAGCATGCAGTTCCTTATCCGGGTCTCCTCTCCACCGCGCCTCACTGTGTCCCCCACTGGCCTTGCCGTCACCCCTGCTTTGGAGGCCCAGGCCTTTGCTGTCCTCCCGAACTCCTCCTTGGCCCCTCTCTTCGTGCTTGGCATGGTAAGCCATTCCAGGGTGTGGGCAGATGGGGCGCCCTGGGCACGGCTGAGACCACTGCCCTTGGGGTCAGGGACCAGTGTGAATCCTGCCCAGGTTCAAACCGGCGCTGCATAGCTCCAGGGCCTGCGGCCAGATCCGTGATACCAGCTGCTTTGGGCTCCTCCAGGCATTCATTCATTCAATTATTCATTGCATCGTTGGCTCGGAACGTGTGCACTGTTTCTGATTCATTCACTCATATCTTCCGTCATTTAATTATGCATCTGTGTATTGTTCAGTCATTTATTGATTCAATTATTCATTAGATTGCTAACTTGAGGTATGTTCTACCTTTTCTGGTTCATAAATGCATATTACTCATTTATTCATTTACTTATACCTTTGTTCAATTGATCATTCATTTGTGCGTTTGTTCATTCATTCATTATTCATCCATACATATCATTGTTTATTCCTTCATTTGTGTGTTTAATCCTTCGCTTATTCAAGTTTTTATTCCATTGTTGATTTGTACATTCATTCACTTAATCACTGTGTCACTCCATAAACATTTAGTGGCACCTGCTCAGACACTAGGAGTGCAGGCGAGCCTTTCTCTCCACCAGGAGGCACTCAAGGGCCTTAGGCAGGTCTGCCCCGGTCTCAAGTTGAGACCCACTTTCCCGGCTTTGCTGATTAAATGAGTTCCGACAGCACTGCCCAAGGCCACGCAGACAGCGGGCAGGAAGGCCGAGGCAGGAGCCCCAGTTTCCTGCCTCACTAGATATTTGTTGAATAAATAAATGCCTGAGTGGCTGACCCAGACTCCATCCCTGTGGCCTGACTCACATAGCCCTCCCAAGTAGCCTGGGAACTCTGATATATGGATTCGGAAGCTGGGGAGAAAATGGTGCTTGGTCGACAGTCCATGACTCATCAACAAACAGGAAGCAAAAGGAAGATCACCCACCCCTATCCCTGGCCTTGGCCTCTGTGGGTCTGACCCGCAGTGTGGGCTCCTCTGCGGGCTCCCTGAGGCTGGCCCTCCCTGCCCTGGAGGCCTCCCAGAGCCCCGGGCCCTGGGAGGGACTTCACCTCTCTGGTTGTTGCTTTGCAGAGCACGAACGTTTCTGTGGAGGTTGGTGCCAGGTCTGACAGGCTTGTGGGACAGCTCAGCTTGGACAAGTAAGTGAACCTGCAGGGACAGGGGAGGAAGCTGCCCATCGGTTCGTGGTGTCCATGAGCTAGCCATGAGCTTACCATGCGCCAAGTGCTATGCCTTGCTTTCCCGTTCCCCCACCCCTGAAGCTCCCCTGTGCAGAGAACACAATGCTCCCATTTTTGCCAACAATGAAACTAACAAGAGATGAAGTGACTTGCCCAAGGCTACCCATCATAGGGTAACCAACCATCTCAGTTTGCCTGGAGTGCCCCAGTTTCAATACTGATAGTCCTGAGTCCCAGGCCACTGCTCTGTCGTGGGCCAACTCATGGCTGGGCAGTGCCCACTGACTCCACTCCACACTGAACCACAGCAGCCCCCAGCTGCCCCACGTCCCCAGCCTTTGTTGGTGCTTAGAAAACCCACTTCAACTTCTTCACCCCCATCCTTGGGAGTTTGTCAGCCCTTCCCTGCTGGGAGACTCTGGGATCGACGTGTCCGGTTCGAATCCTGACAGAGGAGATTGTTAAGAGTGTGCTTTCTGACGTTGAGGCTGCCTGCATTTGAAGCACAGCTTGCCGTGGCGAGCAACAGACCCTCCACACTTCAGTGTCCCTGGCTGTAAAATAAGCCTGATCTTCATCCCTTGCCGACGGCATTGTCATGAGGATGAAATGAGGCATTAGTATGTGTTGAAGTGTTTAGAACACTTGAAGGAACAAAATAAGTGTTCAGTAGCAAGAGGAAAAGAGAGAGACACAGAAAAAGAGAAACACAAAAACTGAGGGAGAGACAGAGAAAAAGACAGACACACAAAGTGAAGGAGGAAAGGGAGAGACATGGAGAGAGAGACACAGAGTGAGAGCAAGAGACAGACAGACAGGAAGATGGGGAGACACATTAAGAGTGAGCCTCTCAAAGAAACACAAAAGGAGAGAAGAGGGAGAGATATAGAGAGATGCCACACAAAGAGAAAGGAAGGGAGACTTCTGGAGAGAGTAGATGCAATGGTCCCAAAACGTAGACCTGGCTCCTACCTCTTCAATCCCCTCCACGCTGCTTAAATTGAGTCTTGACGGGCATTCCTGCATGTCCACCTTCTCCCAGGCACAGCGCTGCCCTTCTCAACCTTGAGATCGGCCCCTGAGGCTTCCACGCTGCTCATTTCCTGTGGCTTCCTTTTGACAAGTGTTACTGCTTTGGAAACATGTGGATTTAATTTTCCTTGAAACACCCAAGGGCCTCTCAAGTAGAGGAGGCAGGGAGGATGCAGCCGGGCGGTGGCTGAGCACAGACTGTCTGAAACATGCAGGGTGGGGTTGAGAATCCACAGGGCAGGAGTCCTGGGGCTGCTAACTCTCAGTGAACGAGAGTGAGTTTTCAAGCTTTGTAGGGTATCGGAGACCCAAAAAATAAATAAATAAAAGCTTTGGCATCAAGGAGACTTATTAGAAATCTAACTTTGCTAATTGTTAGCTGGGTGGCCTTGGGCAGGTTGTTTGACCTCTGCGTGTCAGATTTCTTGTCTGCAACATGGGACTGTGAAGGCCCTTGCCATTTGGGGTGTTACTGGAATTCACGGGGATACAGTACAGTATTGAACATAGTGAATGATAGGGGCCCAATAAACAGCCATTTATTTCTCCCTTTCTCTGAGATCACATTTAAATGCCATAAAGGCTGGAAAGAGGAGATAGTTCCTTGGCTCAGGTCATTGAAAAGCCCGAGGGTTTCGGGCAAGAGTGGATCCAGGTGCTTAAATGATGTCCTTGGGATGCTGACTCTCTTCATCCCAGGCCTCTGCTATCCCCTCTGCTGGCTTCATTTTCTAGAAGGCTGTCACCAAATGGTGACAAAAAATAGCCACTAGCTGCTCCCTAATTTTCCTGGAGAAAATAAAGAACACCTCATTCCCAATATTTCCAGCAGAAGTCCTGAGACCAGCTGCCATTGGGCCAGCGTGAGTCTCAGGGCTATTCCGGAAGCAGGCCCTGAGGCAGGGAGGTGGAATCTGCCCTTTGGCCAGCCCACCCCCAAGCTGGGCACTAACAACGCAGAGAGTGGGTGATTTCCCCAAAGGAGAAAGCAGGGGGCTGTGACCAGAGGAAGGGGGATGAACACTGGGTGGGAAAACCAGGCAGCAGTCACCAGCGTGGACCCTTTCTCCCCAGCAACTGAGCTCTGGTATGAGTCAAGCAGATGGGGTCTCAGCCTCCCTCTCCCCTTCCCACAGGCTGTTCCTGGAACTGAAGCACTCGGACATCGGCCCCTTCTCGGTGAGTCTGAGGGGTGAGTCTGAGGCCGTCGTGCTCCTTCCTTCCCCTGACTTTGAGATAATAATCCCAAAGGCCGCTGGGCTCACAGCACGATTTCAGGAAGCCACTGGTTCATTTGCATACAATTTGCATGTAATGACAGGAGGGGCTTTATCGCAAAGAGACCGGGGTGGAATCTGCTCCTGATTTACTCGCTTCAGGCCTTGGGCAAGCAAATCACTTCTTTCGAGGAACTTCAGCCCTTTCCCACAAATCAGGGATAATCCTTCCCACTTGAGTTAATGTGGTGAGGTTTAAATGGGATTAAATGTGCGCAATCTGGTATGCAAAATCTGCTCAATAATTGTTTGTTGAATGAACAAATGAATTACTTTATTGAGGACCTACTATGTACTAGACAGAGCTTCAGGTGTTGGGATATGCTCATGAAGGAGACAGGGAAGCAACCCCTTCTAGAGCCATACATCATAGTGGTAGACAGAGAATAAGAAATCAAGATTATTTTGGTCAAGATCAGTACTGGAAAAACAAAATGTAAGCGGAGAAGATGATGAGGAGGAGGTTGAAGTTTAGACAGTATGATCAGAGAAGGTCTCTCTGAGGAGGTGATATTTGCGCTGAGGGAGCCAGCGAGGGGAAGATCCGCCACAGGCAGAGTGAACAGCAGGGGCAAAGGCCCTGGGGCTGACTCATCCCATGTCCTTCTGGGCTAGAGTAATTGTGTTTGAAGGGCAGGGAGAAGCGATCAATTGTTTCATACTGAGTGACATGAACTGATTTATACCTTCAAGAAAGATGTTCCTGGCTGGGGTTAGGAGACTGGGTTATGGGGACAAGGTTAGACCACATAGATCAGTGGGGAGGTGGGTGCATCTGTCCCTGAAAGATGGTGGGGCTGAGACTGAGCCAGGAAGAAAGAGGCAGATGATAGATTGGGGACACATAATACTTTGGAAATAAGATCAGATGCAACTTGGTGAGAGATACAGTGTGTGGGGTGAGGGAAAGGGCACTGAGGGATGACACCTAGATTTTTGGCTTGAGCAGCTGGGTGAAGGGCAACGTCACTTACTGAGATGCAGAAGGACAGGTGGGAGGGAGAGGAGCAGGGCTCTCGCCAGCACAGGTCAGCGATTCCACTACTCGGAATCACCGACCATCCTGAAGTAGACACACTCCTGCCTCCCCCACCTAAGGAGGCGTTGGGAGTGAGTTGCCCACGTAAGCAGCAGCTCGAATGCTCTGCTCTTCAGGAGCCTCCCTGAAACTGCATCGCCCTTGCGACTTCCGGTTAGAAGCCACAGCACGCAGATTGTATCCACAGCGTCTAACTATTCGTGGCCTTTTGTTGAACCCCTGGAAAACATTACATTGGATCTCTGAAATGCTCCCCAAGGCCCCCACCAAGTGGGCACCTTGTAAGCCACCCAACCCCCAGGTCAGACTTGTCCCAATGCCCCCTCCAAATCTGATGGAACTCCAGCCAGCCAGTTCCATCTGAGGAGATGACAGCAAACGAAAGGACCCGAAGCGGCCTCACTGTATTTCCGTGGATTACTGGTGCCAAGGCTCTGATAGTGTGAGGACTCAGTGGGGAACTAACTTCTGCTTCTGCAGAAAATAAAAAATTTAACTTCCTAGATTCATGCGAAGAAGGGCACCACATTTGATGAGCCCAGAGAATCACAGCCTGGGAAAGGAAACTCAATTGTTCCAGGAACAAAAATGTACATATTTACAAGTTGTAAATGTCACCACGGCAGGCAACTCTCTTGAGGATGTTACATTATTGTTAAACTGTTTTTATTATTGCAAAAGCAAATATACATTCTAGAGCAATCAGAACCCACATGTTTACAAAAGAAAGAAAATAAAAACCATTTCCTAATTTCACTATTAGTTAATAATTTGGAGTACATCCTTCCTGACATTTTGTTGTGTGTGTTTAATAACAAAATGGAATTCTGTGGTTTCTACAGCTCGCTTTTTCTTATTCAAAAAACACCATGAATAATTCTGTGATGATAATTATATTTCTACAATGTCATTCATCACGGTTGAATAGTTTCCCAGCATCAAAATGCCGTCATATCCTCCAGATTCTTCCCCAAACGGGAGCATGTAGGTTGTTTAAAAAAAGTTTTTTAATACAGTATAGTTGACATAAAATGTTACATTAGTTTTCAGGTGTACAACATAGTGATTGGACACTTATATACCTTGCAATGTGATCACCATACTAAGCCTACGAACCATCGGTCACCATGGCAAAGTTCTCCCTCTGTAATTGACAGTATCCCCCTTCACCGACCTCGCCCGTCCCTCCATCCCTCTCCCCTCTGGCAACCAGCAGTTTGTTCTGTCTCTGTGAGTCTGTTTTTGTTTGTTTTGTTTGTTTTTGTTTTTTAGATTCCACGTACAGCAAAGTCACGCTGTGTTTGTCTTTTTCTGTCTGACTTATTTACCCTCCAGGTCCATCCACATTGTTGCAAAAGGCAGATTTTCCTTCTTTTTTGTCGCTGAGTAACGTTCCATTGTTTCGGTTATATTCATCACCCTTTGAGCATCCTTGCATCTGCTTCTGCCCACATTCTAGTCACTTCCTTAGAATAAATGCCCCTGAGGCATGTTCGCAGCCCAACAGGCACACAGGTTCTTAAGGCTGGTGATGAACATTGCCAAACAGCCCCGGTAAAGATTGAACCAGTGTGGCCTCTGGCCTGCAGTGTCGGGAGATAATGCATTTTCTCACACAAAGGTTTTCACATTTAATACTCTCCGCTGACCTCCCTCTGCCTTGCACCCTACAGTCTAGAACTTGCTTTACATCCAGAACCTTTAGAGTAAAAGAGATCACTCCGGTGACCTTGATCGGGCTGCAGAGTTTTCACATCACTTGGGTCCGTTTCTCAGCAGCTCTCCAGCTGTGAGGTTGCCCTGCATGGGAGGGAGGCTGGCGGGGGCCTGCCAGTGCTTGCAGGCCCTGACGGGGTCCCAACTACCTTCTGATTTCCAGGTTGAATTGCTGCAGACCATCATGAACTACGTCATGCCCACTGCTGTGCTTCCCAAGGTTAATGGTAAGGAGCTTTGGAGAAGCAACTGATTTCCCATCCTGGGAGAAGTGGTGGGGCTAATTCCTGAACCACCTAATACTTGGTTCCAGTTGTGGGGGCCAAGGGGTAGTCACCTCAAATGACCCTCAAATGACCCTCAAATGGCACCTGACCCAGAAAAGGAATGGGAAAAAGGAAACCCAGCTGGTGTAGTTCTTACTACACGCCCTTCTATCCTTATGAGATGAGGGATCAGTAATATCTCCAGTTTTTGTGTGAGGACATCAGAGAAGTTAAATGACTAAAGGAAATCAGAGCAATGAAATGAGCAGGTCACAGGGCAGGTGAGAGGCAGAGCTTGGGTTTGACCCCGCTGCTGGAGCCAGAGCCCATGGTCTTGGTCCAAATCTGGAAGGCAGACCAGGGAAGAAGCGTCTCGGCTAAGGGCTTATATGCTCAGCCCACTGCTAAAGGCTCCAGGCCGGCCTGCCACTGACCTCGGCGTAGCCAGGGGCAACCGTGCGCACAGAGGCCCACAAAACACGTGACTAGAATATTTAAAAACAATAAATAAAGATGGCAAATTATTATGTAGGGCATGACTTATCCTCCCACCTTGACACATGTAGCTTCAAATGACCCAGGAGGCCAGGTTGGAATTTGGAATTCCCCCGAGTTCCAGCTCAGAATGTGGTGGCGTCCGAAGAGTCGGCCCCCCGCTACTGTGCATCCCTGACTGTATCCTAAACATTGAGGGGCTTCCCGCACACCCAGATCGATACCCCCAATCCCATGTCCACGGGCCGTCCACACCCCTGAGAGCCGTGGCCCCTGCTGTCACTTGGGCCTGGTGTCCTCTGGCAGTGCCGTCATCCTCAGGAGGGTGGTCGTGGTCCAGGGGCCTGCACTGATCCTGGGCTTGAGCTTGGGTGAGGGGGTGGGAATAAGAGGGTCCCAGGTTTCTCTCCAGTCCAGGGAGGCCGCTCATGTGGCTCTCTTGGACCCCCCGCCACACACTCTACTTTCTCCTCCCTGACCCTTACCCTCACCTCCATTGCAGAGAGGCTTCAGAAAGGCTTCCCCCTCCCGCTGCCCAGACACATCCAGCTCCTCAACCTGGTGCTTCAGTCTTACAAGGTGAGTCCCAAAGGCCTCTTCTCACCCAGTCTCTCACCTGGTGCTGAAAGGCATTCTCTCTACAAGCCCCGGGCCGAGCACTTCCTGCCCTCACAACAACCCGGGAAGGCGGGTGCTCTTAATAAACAGACAAGGAAAACTAAGATTTAGAAATGCCACATGGCTGTTAAACAAAGTCCAGATCCAAAGCCAGACTCCCGCTGTCAACTACTGGCTGCGTTGCTCCCACCCAACACTGGGTAAACATGGAACTGGACCTCACTTGGTGGCTACAGAGCCTCTTCCATGAGGTGGCTGCATTTAGCCATGGAGACACGTGTTGCGTGCCTTCCTTAAAAAAAAAAAAAAAAAAAATTCTTAAAAAAAAAGTTCATCCTTAATAAAAAAAGAAAAAATGACCCCATGGCACAATTCAGTTTCTTCATCTATGAAAATTCGGAGTGAAGGGCATGAAGGAGCAAAGAGAAGTGGTTTTGCAGCCTTGACTGGAATAAGGGCTCCCTTGAGCTGCCATGGGGCCAGGATGACAAATGAAGGCCTCCAGGGCCACCCCGGGGGTCTCCATGACTGAGAAGGAAGCAGCAGCCAGGGAAGCTGCTGACGGACGGACGCACAGGCGTTGTGATGGGCAGACCGCAGAGGCCAGACCACAGTGCCCCCACTCCCTCCTGCCTTTCTGTCGGCAGACAGGCTCCCCTCTTCTCCCAAAGCCTTCTTCTAACAGCCCAGTGGCCCCCTTCACAACAAGGCATGCGCTTCCAGCTGATGACGACATTCCCATCTTTTCCCAGAATTTCCTGCTGTTTGGAGCAGATGTTCACTACAGCTGAACTGCCACGGGTGCTGGGGGCTTTCAGCCACACCAGGAGGCGAGACGTTGTCAACACCTGTTCCCCACAGGCCCGTGGGGCACAGGCTGCCCTTCTCCAGGTGTCCCTCTCTAGCTCTTGACCCAGAGACCCTTGCAAACTCCTCCGAACTCGGTTTCAGAAATGACCTAAAGATGGAGAGCCTTGTTCCTTGGGAAAGGGTGGTGAGTATCTTAGGGATTAGGTGCTTCTTGCAAAGGCTAAGGTTACACAGATATTTCCCTCAGGAATTGCATTTCAGTTGTAACCACAATATTTCTCTTTGGGCCTCACAAAAAAGTCTGGGTTTTTAAAATGTGGAATTCTGTGTGATGGTATTGTTTCTTGTTTTATGTCCATTCATTGGCTGTAGCCAGCATGGCCTGTAGCGCCAGTGTACAGCACAGATACAGTCACCTCTTTATTTCTCTAATTACTCTCTTGAGCCCTGTGAGCAAAAAATGCCATTGTTTCTCTTTGAGGACACCCCTCAGTCCACACTGGCCGAGAGTCCAAAGGGCATGGAGTCTTGCTTCCTAATGTCAGGCAGAGTTTGCAGAGGGGATGGGTCCCGAAGGCTGTTGTCCCTGCTATGGCCACATGGTGGGCGTCGCTGTTAAACAGCTCTCCGGCACGGCTTGCTTTCCCTGCCCCACACTGGGGGCCTAAGGCTGATAGTTCCCTTTTTCTATGATCTCCTCTCCTGCCCAGCCATTGGGCCCAAGGCAGAACTGGGCCAGAGGACAGAGACCATTGGAGCTTTCAGTCAACTGCTTCCCCAGCTGCAGTGAGCGCTTCCCTCATGACTTTCCAGATCGCCAGCCCAGACTGTCCTTGGACTCGGTTAGTTTCCTCCTGGGCTTTGGGACAGGCCCTGCCGTGGGACATCGGGTGTGGCTACCTCAGGCCATTAGACAGATCCTAAGAGCATTTTATTTCAAATTGGTTGAGCATTTTCTGGAAGTCCTCTCTGAGCTGCTGACATTTGGTCTGAGACCAGAAGGGTGAGGAAGAGTTTGAAGCAGTCAGTGGGATGGGGGGGGTGACATGACCAGATTTAGCTTTTAAAATGTCTTGTTGTGACCTTTAAAAGCATCGGAGGGTCAAGAATGGAAGGGGGTGGGCACAAATTAGAAAGCTGTTGTTCAGACTTCACTTGGGTGGGCCATTGTAAAAATGGAGAAAAGCATTTATAACTGATGAAACACAGGTAAAAGGTATTTTTAAAGAAAAACGTACACATTTCTGCTAACATCATCAATTCTCTGTCAGATGGAGGTAGAGGTTCTGGGGCCACACAGTACATGAATGATTTCATTGAATCCCACAGGACTCACCTCCCCCAAAGTGGGAAGTGCTCCATCCTTGTAGATGGAGTCATTCTCCCTGGATCGCACAGCTGGCAAACGGCAGAGCTGGGATTCACAACCCCACCCCCTGTCGCCAGAGTCCAGGTCTCCACTCCTCCCAGATGTCAAAATCTCGTCTGTTTGACGCTTGGGATGTTGAAGGTGGAATTGCGACGTTCAGGTGCAATGGTTGCGCACTGTAAAAAGGTGTCAGGCTGAGGGAACAAAATCCTTTTTCTAATTTGTCCACTATGAGGAGGCATCTTTTTCTACTCGCCTAGTGGAGGCTCTGAAATGAACAGAAAAGCAGCCAGTGGGGCTGCAAGGAAGGGAGTGGGTGGGAACACGACAGGGGACGAGCAGGAGAACGCCGCAATCCAACGCGCGTCTTTAAAAGACCCCTCTGGATGGAATGGGGAGCAGAGCTGGTGAGTATAGAGACACAGCCCTGTCTTCCACCACCCTCCCCCCATCTGCCACTATTCTCTTTGGACATAGTTGCCCCCCTGCCACACACACACCCTCTACTTTCCAAAACATTCAGGCAGCCCCTGCCCCACTCTCTGCAGAAAAAAAAAAAAAAAGCACTGTTTCTTGAACTTAAGGACTAGTGAGTGGACCACTCTCTAAGGGCTGAAAAATAGGCAGTTGTTTGGAGGTGTGATTTGAGGAGCACCCCCAAGACGACCCAGGGTTATCTGCCAGGCTGCCTGCAGAGCCACTGTTAGAGCAGCTCCCCCTGAGGCCAAGCTTTCCAGCTCCACCTGACCGCTAATGTGCTTCCTAGGGAGGTGTTGAAAGTGTTCTAAAATTAGGCGATGGGGATAGTTGCACAACTCTGTAAATACAGTAAAAACCACCGAACAGTACACTTTACATGGGTGACTGTTATGTTTTGTGAAATATATGTTGCTAAAACCGTTAAAAAAAAAAAAACCCAAAAGAATTGCCTACACCAGACTGCCTTAATCAGCTTCCCTTCTGGGTTAAGGATTGCCCTCTCGGGGTTCCTTTTGGAAATGACGGCATTAAATGCGATGGCGGGGTAGGTATCTTGTGTGGGGAGATGAGGGGTGGGCCATGCGGGAACTAACCCCTGTGTTCAGCATTTCGCCACATCCCATGAGCGGCCAGGAGTGGCCCTGCCCTGGGCTGATCTCTTCACATTTATTATCTTATTTAATTCTCATGACCCCTCTAAAAGTAGACAAGCAGTCCCCATTTTCCAGATGAAGAGTCTGAGGTTTAGGGAGGTGATGTGGCACCTGCCTGAGGCCACTCAGCTCAGTGTTCAGAGCTTGGGCTGGGGACTCACCTGGCCCTAGCTCGTGCCTTGGTGGTTAAGAACATGGGCTGTGCTCCCGGACACTGTGGGTTCAAATCCCAGCTCTGCTATTTATCAGCTGTATGACCTCTGGACTTTGATTTTTCTTATCTGGATCCTAATAGTACCTACCACACAGGGTTGAGAGGAGAATCAAATACAGTCTGTGGCCCAGGGCCTGACAAGTAGTGTTCAAAGTTAGCTCTAAGCATCAGTGAAGCCAGTTTGTCCCTCTATACTGTAAGCACTGTATCTGGCTTGCCATAGTTGTATTCCCAATGCCTCACATAAAATAGGTGTTCGCTAAATATTTATTTTAAAAATCATCTAGGTTTTGAATTCCCAGCTAAGTGGCTCAAAGCTCCTATGTCCATGATTCTCAAGGTACGAGACAGGGCTGCCTGCCCGGACAGGCCTGACCCCGAGAATCAGAACGCAGGATGGCCAGAACGTTGGGGCCAGCTGCGCTCGCTGCGTGACTTGGGCCAGCCCCTCCCCCTGCCTGGGTTTCCATTTTGCCATCTGTGAAAGCAAGGGCCCTCTGGAATTCCGGGAAAGAAATCCAATAAAGTGAGCTCGGGCAAATGTTAAGGAATCTTCTCTTGCTGAGAAATTTTCATTTTAACAGAAGCTCCTTAGGGCCCCCAAAACTATCAAGACTCAGTGAAATGAGGCTACTGCTGGGATTGTAAATGCTGTTTATTGCAGAGGCAAAGGGGATGGGAGAGGGGAGAGAAGGGAGGGTTCCCAGGATCCTCAGGGTTTCCCTGGGGTGAGAGGCTGTGTAACTGACATTACTATTTTTTTTCTGTAAATCCACATGTTTCTGTGTGTACACACACACACAAGCATGCAGGTGACAGGGCTAGGAGAGGGGGCCGCCATCAATAACAAACCCTCAACCCAAAGTGCCCTAGAGGGATCCGATGAGACCCAATGTTCTCAGGAGTGTGGGCACCATCAGGAGAAACTGCACTGAAAATAAAAGCGAATAGAGTTACAGAATTGCTGAGCTTCCAGCGAACTTAGAGCTCAATTTTGTCATTTGGACTCAAAGCACCGTCCAACATCAGCACCACCTGGGATCTTGTTAGAAATGCAGAGTCTTGGCCCCCAAAGGAACCTGGTGTATCAGAATTTGCATTTAAACAACAGTCCTGGTATATATTCACCACCACGTCTTTATCCATTCATCCATCAATGGACACTTAGGTTGTTCCTGTATCTTGGCTGTTGTGAATAATGCCATACTGAAAGTGGGGCACAGATATCTCTTCGATATCCCGTTTTTATTTCCTTTAGCTAAATACCCAGAGGTGGAATTGTTGGATCATATGGTGGTTCTGTTTTTAATTTTTAAAGGAACTGTTCCACAGTGGCTGCACCAATTGACACTCCCACCAGCAGTGCATGAGGGTTCCCTTTACTCTACATCCAGAAGCTGTGGTATGTGTGGAGCATGTACTATTACTCAGCCATGAGGAAGACGGAGATCTTGCCATTTGCAACAACATGGATGAAAGTTGAGGGCCTTATGTTAAGTGAGATAAGTCAGACAGAGAAAGCCAAAAACTGTGTGATCTCACTTATATATGAAATTTTTAAAAGCCAAACTCATAAAAACAGAGAGTAGACTGGTGGTTACCAGAGGCCGGGGATGGGGAATAGGAGAGATGTTGTTCAAGAGGACAAACTTAGAACCAGCAGATATGTAAGTCCTGGAGATCTAAAGCACAGCAGAGCGATTAGAGACAACAGTGCTGTGTTATAAGCTTCAAAGCTGCTAAGAGACTAGATTTTAATTGTTTCCACCACACACACACACACACACACACACAAAGATAATTATGTGATGGCGTAGATGTGTCTGCTAATGCCACAGCGGTCCTCATATTACAATATATAAATATCTCAAGTCAACACCTCGCATACCTTACACTTACAGGTCAATTATATTTCAAGAATACATTTAAAATTAAATAAACAAGACCCCTGGAGGCTTCAAGAAATACTGTCCTGGTCCAGCACCTTCATCTGCACCTGGAGGGACAGAGAGGGTCAGAGAAGGGCAGGGTTTGCCCATCCGGAGCCCAGACCAGGACCCAGGCCTCCTCGCTGCCAGTCCTTCCCCTTCTACGGCTCTGTGTTTTGGCACATGCTGCTCCTTCCTCTGCAAAACCTCCACGTGACCTTCAAGATCCAGCTGGACATCACCTCTCCACAGACATGTCTTCAGTGGGCCCCAGGGTCTCCCGTGGTGGCTGAGCAGGAGTTGCTGCGTGTTTTTAGCGCTCTCTCTCTCAGTCCACTGTCCCTGCACGAGGTCTACTGACTTGGAAAGGAATTCAGAACTGTCCGCAAGAGGAAGGCATTTGCTACAAAAGGTCGATGTGCTGCTTGTGCCAACGAGGGTCCAGGCAGGAAACGGAATCCAGCTCAGATGGTTCTCAAGATTCAGTTGAAGGGACTACTTCCAGAGCTGGGAGACAGGCTAAAGAAACTGGCGAAAGCCGTTGAGGCCCCAGGACGAGCATCCTTAAGCTTGAAGAGCAAGGCAAGAGTCAGGGTGCCCAAGCCCAGTGAGGCCTGGAGACCCGTGAGTGGTCCAGGGGCAACACGGCCACAGAGCTCTCTGACGGCCTGTTGTGCGACCCCTCAGCTGTGTCCAACTATGGGTGAGGAAAATGAGTCACAGGGTGCCCAAGGTGTCCAGCGGGCAAGTCAGGACTCACATCCAGGCCAGCTGGTCCCGGAGTCCTTACCTTGACCTTACGCTCTTTTCTGCTTTATATTCATTCACTCTTTTGACAATTATCTGCTATGTGCCTGCCACTCCGTCTTCCAAGCACTGCAGTTTTCAAATTCCAGCTTTTCTGAATCCTTTTCAAGTAACACTTTGTAACCAGGACAAAAGTGGTTCTTCTGAAAGGGAGAGCGTTTTCGCTGCTGGCAGCAGCTCTGGCTTTCGTGGAAGTGGATGGACAGCCTGGTACGGGAAAGGCCTGGGGGTCTGACCAGCACTGACCGTGGTCGCACCGCTACCAGGGGCCGCTGCTGGGTCCTGGGTCACCAAGCAACATTCAGGAGGGGCGGGTGCCTGGCCTACGGCCATGAGGCACACTAGCCAGGGCAGGTCTGAGGTCCAAAGTATGTTGCTGTGGAAATTCCCCACCCCCCACAAGGGACCTCCAGCCTCGAACACCCTCAAACTGCCACCAGAAGAGCGACATTTGTGTCCCCATGAGGTCCTCACCCTCCATACTGTCCTCCCTGACTCTTCAGAGCTGGAAGGGGCCCAAGGGAATCACTGGCTCTGTCCTCCTCATGTCCCAGAGGGAAACTGAGGCACAGGAAGAAACAAGGCTTGCTAAGGGCCACGCGGCCAGGCAGGGCTGTGCCAGGCTGGCACACTGGTTTCCTGACTCTCAGCAAAGGACCAGTCCCCATCTCGGCAGGCCGAGTCCAGGAAGCAGATGTCCCCAGGATGGCTGAGTCCTGTCAACCCAGCCCCCCAGAGCACCCAGGTTGGTGGGGCGACAGGTGAGACCTCGACAAACCTCAGCCCGATGACAGAGGAGCAGAGAGGCGGCCGCTGTGGGCTTCCCCATGCTCAGCGTGGGGAGTTCCCCTCTTAACTCCAATTCCAGGGCCTTCTAGGACCTGCTGTGAAGAAACTGTTCCTCATCATTCGATTTGTTGAGGCAGTCACAAAGACCCACCCAGCTTTTTGAGGAGGGCACAGATTCTCCACCCTTTGATGGGAGGAATATCAAAGTATTTTTGGATGTATTTTTAAAAGGACCACAATTATGAAAAAGCAGAGAATGGTTAATGCTATTAGGGAGAAAGCGCAGAGGATTCTGAGACCTGAGAGGGGCACCTTTCTCTAACCCAGGGAAACTTTGGGTGATCAGGGAAGGCTTCCTGGAGGTAGGGGTAGAATAAAGCTCAAAGCTAGGGAGTCCTTGGGGATCCCTATGACTTTGGCACAATCCCTTCTACAAATTTTGTTTTCCAAGATGAAATTTTATCATCTTTACTTCCTGCAAATAAAATATATCCCCAGGACCATGCCCCCCAAATAAAAATTTTAAATACCAACAAGCAAAAAGATTTTTAAAACACCTACATTCTTGCCCATTCAACCAGAGACAATTTCTCATAACACCCTTGCTAAGAAATTCCCTGATGGGCACACATGGAAATAGAACAAAGAAATGGAACCTCACTATACGGTGCCATTAGAAACCACCCTTTCATGACCATCTGTTCATGTTGGGAAATATATTGATTTCTGCAGTCTCACATTAAATGGCTATATCATCATTAATTTAACCAATGCCCTTTTGCTGGACACTTTAGGTTGGGTTCCCCCCGTTCCTCGCCTATTTCACGTAGCACAACAATGGGCACCTTGATGCAGTGACATATTTGTACACTGGCTTAATTGTGCAACAGCAGGGTCACCGGGCATGCAGGTGTTTAATCATTTGTGAAGTTACCTTCCGGAAAATTATGCCACCACCGAGATTTGAGAAAGCCTGTTTTCCCACGGCAGGGCGGGGAGAGGGGTGGTTCTTGTTTAAATAAACAGTGTCGAGTATTGAGAAGAGAGAGCTTGGTTGGCACCAGACTCCCAGCTCTGCCTTTTGCTGGGTGCGGGATCTTGGGCGTGTGACACGGCCTCTCTCTGAGCCTCCGTTTCCTAGTGTGTAAACCGGGCCTTCCTAGCAATGAACGTGGGGGTCTTTCTGTGGGAAGGGTGGACAGATATTGCCACATGGTGCCTGGCCAATCCACCCTCTGACCCCAGAGCAGCCACCTCAGGCCTCTAAGGGTGACGCATGACCCCAACAGTGTCGCAAGCAGGTTCCAGTCCCTGTGCCTCCCCTTCCCGTCCTGATTCCAGGAACCTGTCCCCACAAAGGAGCTGCCCCAGCTCCCAGGCGCAGTTACTTAAGGAAGCTGGGCCCAGCCCGCACTTGCAACAGCCCTGGCTCACCCACTGGGAACCCAGGATGGGGGCCTCAGCCAGGGCGCTGTCCTCTCTGCTGCTGGGACTGCTGCTCACGTCCTCCACAGGGGTCCTGGGTGCCAACCCCGGCCTGGTCGCCAGGATCACAGCCAAGGGCCTGGAGTATGGTAAGGAGCGATGGTCATCAGCTGGAGTGGCTGACCCGCTTGGCACCACCAGGTCGCTCTGGGTGCGGCAGGGGCAGAGACAGGGTTCCCTTCTCTGGGCCTGGCTGGGACTCTGGCCTCATCACCCAACCACTGTGTCACTCAGGCACTTACTTGCCTTAGCTGGGTCCCTGCCAGTCAAAAGAGACAAGGATTGGGGTGCAAGTGGTTGGTTTGGGAGATGACACCAGGACACACCCTCAGAGAGAGGAAATGTAAGGTGGGAAAGGGAAGGAAGGCAGTACCTTAAGCTTAGCACCCTTTAAGTACTTCGTGTATGTCATACCTCCATTGTAAAGAATGGACAAAAGTAGGGGTATTTTTTAAAAGATGCTAAAACAATGACTCACAATGAGTCCCTCCACGGGTCAAGGGATCTGGGGTATTTATACACTGCTCTGCACAGTAACTGATCAAGGGAAGCGCCTCATATTCATCGAGCCTCAACTGCCTATGGATTAAGCGGGGGTAATAACATTCCCTCATGTAAGGTTGTTGGGAGCCCAGGCTAGCTGGGGGCAGAGGAAGGGAAATCAAGGAAGTCTTCCTGGAGGAGGTGAGGTGAGGTAGAAAATATAAGTGGGAGTTAGCCAGAGATAACAGGGTAGAATTCTGGCACAGGGACTGGCACATGCATTTGCTAAAGGGAGGCATGTAAGTTGGAAAGAGGCAGGCTGTTGGTCATGGTGTATACATGCCCTCCCTGCGGGAAGAGCCCCGACTCCTTCATATTTCAGAACAAACAGAAGGTCCTCTTTATATGGAAACTCTGAATCAGACAAAATTTGCCTTTTGTTCCTTTCCACATGTAAATGTACCATGTTTATTTAACGGATCCTCTAGCATTGGACTTTTGGTCCTTTCCATACTTTTAATATACAAACTCACCTCGCTGTTCCTGGCCTTGACCAAGTGCCTGCTGTGGGCCGGGCACCAAGGCAGGACCTCTTTTGATCCTCCCAGCCGCTCTGTGCTCTGAATGATTTCTTTTCATCCTCATGTACCCCAGTGAGGAAAGTATTATCGCTGCATTTTGACAGATGGAGAAAGTGAAGGCTGAGGACTTGTTCAAGTCTGCCCAGCTGGAAAGAGGCCAAAATGAGAACTCTATCCCTAAAATCTTTACAGTTGCTTCTACGCAGGCTAGACGCCATCAAGGGCAGGAAAGAGAATTGCCCACACAAGCACACAGCAGCCCTTCTCCCCAACCCCCGCATGGAGTTGCTGACACAGGCATTCTGTTCCCTCATCCATAAAGTGGGCACGTGCCACATACAATGCAGTGATGTCCGGAGTGTTTTCCAAGCCATCTGGTAGGCAGAAGGGCTCAATAACCCATACCTGTAATTCGTGTTAATAAGGAAGTGGGCCTCTCTCCCCGGGGCAGGTGGAAGCCTGAGTGACTAAGGGATTGGGGGGGAGGGAGGCGGGCCGACTAAGCTGACCCCTGGCTCCTTCCTGTCCACAGTGGCCAAGGAGGGGTTGGTGGCGCTGCAGAGAGAGCTGCGAGAAATCACACTGCCTGACTTCCATGGGGACTCCAAGAGCAAGCACATTGGACGTTGGAACTATGAGTTCCGCAGGTGGGACTCCCTTCTGCTGGGGCCCCAAGGTGGCAGGGGTGGGAGCCTGGAGAGGGAGGGAGAGCCCAGATTGGGTCAGGACCCCTGTGGGGCAGACAGTAGGGTAGGTCCTCACAGAGTCCAGAGGGAGGTTCTAGGAAGGAATTGGGCTCCCCTATTCACTCATGCAACAAATATTAATGAAGACATAATAACTGTGTGACCCGAGCCTCGGTTTTCTTGTCTGTATAATGAGGATGCTATTGCAACCTCCTCTAAGTAATAATAACCCAGCCTCTGGTCTGACCGTTGGATATAGTCTGGAAGGGAAGATAGACTTTAAACTTTACATACAGTAGCCCAACTATTAGAGCTGAGGTTTGAACATCTGGAAGAGTCAAGGAAGGCTTCCCGGAGAAAGTGACATTTGAGCTAAGTCTTCGAAGGATTATTACATGCAAGCAACTGATGCTAAAAAAAGCATGAGGCCGTTTTTGAAGGGCAGGCAATGAAAGGAGGGCTATTGAGCCCACAGCTCATCAACCCCCTCCCTTCTCACTACCATTGATTGCTTCCTTCCTTCTTTTATTCAGTCTATCAACAAACACTTATTGAGCACCTACTATGTACCAGGCAAATAGAATGGCACTTGATCATTCTTTTCCCAATGACAGCCCACAGTAACATGTCACCTTGGTTTGCCGCCCTCAGCCCTTTTTGTATCTTTACTCCAACTGCCCTTGTCCTTCTCTGGATCTGGTTCCCCCACCTGCCTGTGTCAGGGGAGGGGATGGTTGGGGGAAGGAGCTGCACACTCAGAGGGGAGAGTCTGTGGGCCCTACTACAGATCCCGCCAAGGATCGTAAGATTCATGGGCTCTCATCCTGCATCTGTGACTTCGGGCAAATGCACTCCTTCCTTGAGTTTCTCTTTCCTCCTCTGTGAAAAGAGAAGAATAGTGCTGACCCACTGTGTGGGGCCTACGTGACATAACGGATATGAGGTGCCGAGCATGGCTATGTGGGGAGTGGTGGGCACACAGCAGGCGCTCAGTAAGGGGGGGCGGTAACCAGGCACCTGCCTGAAGCAGCCCCGCTGGGCCAGTCCCCACTGAGGGGGAGGTACAAAGGTGAGAGCAAGCCCCCTGCTGAGGCTGGACCCAAGCAGGGGCTGATGCCACTCTTCGTGTGTCTCTCCTCAGCCTGGACATCCGCAGCTGTGAGCTGCTGGGCTCTGCTTTGACACCCCTACCCGGCCAGGGCCTGAGTTTGTCCATCTCTGACTCCTCCATCCAGGTCCACGGCAAGTGGAAGGTGCGCAAGTCATTCGTGTAAGTTGGCTCGACTCCTAGGCTCTTGGACCCTTGGCCTTGGTCCCATTCTTCTTGGGTCCAAGGAGTTCCTAAATCATTGTAAAGGCCACAGGGTAGATGGAGGGAGCTCAAGCCCAGAGACACCTCAGTTTCCGAGCCCTGGCTCTTGGACCAGCCTCTTATCATTTTCTGTCTCCCTGATGGGGTTGTGGGAAACTAAATGAGATCACATTGTGTTATCTTGCTTTGCTTACCCCAGCAGCAGACCCCAAGGTAGAGTTTAAGTGCAAATACTTTGCATGAGAAGTGATCTAAGGAGGCATCCGTGGGGTTTGGGGAGGTGAGGCAGGAAGGGAAGGAAGACACTCCTGGAGACAGTGTGGACGGAGCACAGCTCTGAGTCACCCCAACACAGATAGGCGACCCCGTCTTCCTATTTGCCACTGGTCAAGGGCAGCTCCCCAGGTACTGACTCTCCAGCATTTGGAATCTCCAGGGTCCTTGGATGGAGGGTGGGTTTATCTGCACGACTGCTGCAACAAGATATCCCAGACTCACGGCTTAAACCACAGAAATGTATATGTTTTTCTCACACACCTGGAGGCTAGGGGGCCAAGATTAGGGTGTCAGAAGGTCCAGTGCCTCCTGAGTCCTGTCGCTTTGGCTTGCAGGTGCCCCCTTTTCTCTCTCCTCACATGGTCATCCCTCTGTGTGTCCTAACTCCTCTTCTCATGAGGACACCGGTAAGATTGGTTTAGGGCCCGCCCTCGGGGCCTCATGTGAACTTAATCGCCTCTCTAAAGGCTCTACCTCAAACGCAGTCACTTCTCAAGTACTGGGGTGTAGGCCTTCAACATACGGGTTGGGGGCGGGACACAGTTCCGCTGACCAGTCTCTTCTGGGTGACCTAACCGTACTTCTCCTTTAGACCTGCACTGTCTGATAGAGGAGCTTCTAGCCACATGCTTTTTCTGAGTACTTGAAAAGAGGCTGGTACCCACTGAGATCTGCCATAAGCGTGCAACTACAAATTTGAAGGTTTAGTACAAAAAAACATTAAAAATCTCATTAGTAATTTTATATTGATGGTACACTGAAATGATAATTCAAATGAATTACTCTTTCTATTTGCCTTTTTGAAACGTTACTTTTACTGTTGACACGATTACGCATGCCCCCATTTTCCCTCCCTTAGCCCCTCATCGCCCTGCGCTCACCCCGCCCCCCCCGGCCATCCCCACACTGTTGTCTGTGTCCGTGGGTCACACATATACACTCTTTGGCGAATCCCCTCACCTTCTTTCATCCAGAGCCCCCTCTCGGCAGCTGCCAGTCTGCTCCATGTATCCATGCCTCTGTTCCAATTTCGTTTGTCAGTTTACTTTTTTCATTGGCTTCCTCATATAAGTGAGATCATATGGTATTTGTCTTTCTCTGACTGGCTTATTTCACTTAGCGTAATAATCTCTAGGTCCATCCATGCTGTTGCAAAAGGTAACATTTCCTTCTTTATTATTTTTTCTTTTTTGCCTTTTTTACCATGGCTACAAGGAAATTTTAAATGACCAATGTGGCTCCCATTATATTTCTGTTGGACAACGATGCTTTAGAAACATGCTCAGTATATATGTCATCTGTATAGGCACATTCACTCAATTTCCATGAAAGAAATCAGGCCATACTCTTCTGCCTGGACTTTTTTCACTGAAGTATATTCAAGATCTCTTTATATGAGCATGCAAAGACTATCTCATTTTTTAAAACTTCTTTCAGTGTAATATTTTTATGGAGGTGAAATTCACAGAACATAACATTAACCATTTTAAAGCACACAAGTCAGAGTGGCATTTGGTATATTCACCATGTTGTGCAACCACCGCCTGTATCTAGTTCCACAGCATTTTTGTCAGGTTTTCTTATAGATCTTTTATGGTCTTCATTGTAATAAAGCTTTGTTTGTCATAAATATTTGAAATAGCTTTTTGTAATTAAATTTTTGCTCCAGCTCCACTTATTTGGGGGTGAGATTTGGGCTTCATATTTCATGTTTCCCCCCAATGGGGGCTGACGTGAGTCCAGGGACCCATCCCTGCTTCTCTCTTCTCCTCCAGGAGGCTACAGGGCTCCTTTGACCTGTGGGTCAAGGGCATCACCATTTCGGTCAACCTCACCCTGGGCAGTGAGCCCTCAGGGAGGCCCACGGTCACTGCCTCCAGCTGCAACAGCCACATCCGCGACCTGGAGGTGGACATGTCGGGAGATTTGGAGTAAGTCACCATTGGGACAGTGGTCGGCTTGACCCCTGGTTGCAGCCCCAGGTCCAGCCAGCCAGGGACCTGGCCTCTGACAAGCATAAAGGCCCTGGCACAATGCATGAGTGCATCGCGCGCACTTGGAAGTCTTTCCGTGGGGACACTGCTGAGGTTAACCGATGCAGTCAAGCCAGGAGGACTGGCGCGCCATTTCTGCCAAAAGCAATTCAGGAACTACCGGGAGGCAAATGCAGCCTGGCTACTGGAGGAGCAGGAGGGCTTTTGGCCAAAGGAGAGCTTATGAAAAATACGCAAGCCTTTGGGCAGGTCTCTTTGAGTCAAGTGTCCTTAATCAGGGTAATGTGGATTCTTGACCCCTTCCCCCAAACCTGTAGAATTTGCTTGGGGCGCAGCAGGGGCTGGGGTGCCAGATGCCCTGAATCAGTGAGTGCGCAGGGAGATGGGGCTGTGGAACACAGCTGGGTGTCAGGATGGAGTAGGGATGGCTCCCTGGGGACTGGCTTTCCCTGCTGCCCCACTGTCGCTGTGTCCAGTGGCACACAACTGACCATCTACTGTGCCCCATTCCGCAGGTGGCTGATGAGTCTCTTCCAAAGCCAGATTGAGTCCAAACTCCAAAGAACATTTGAGGAAAAGGTAAGAATGTTTGATCCATGCAGGGGCTGGGCTCAAGTCACACTTGGGCCCAAGGCCCAGAGAGGACAAATCATCTGCCAAAGGTCGCAGAGCTAGTACGCAGGCAAAACGTAGTGAAGTTGTGTGGCTAAAGCAATTAGCACAGTGTCAGACCAAAGCCAGAGAACTCACTCGGGCTTTCTCTTCCATCTTTTTCAGATTTGCGAAGCTGTCCAGAAATCTGTGACCTCTGACCTACAGCCTTATCTCCAAACTCTTCCAGGTAGGGGACCCTTCTGAGATAGTTTATTTCTGTTAATTCTCATAACAGCATATATGTGTCTTATAAAACCTTAAGTGGGATACAAGTACAAAAAGTAAAAATGAAAAGGCCCTTTTCCTCCCCCAATTTTTTTCCAAGTAGTAACCTCTTTGTTGGGTGTATCCTCTTAGATATTTTCTTTGCATATACAAATGCAGAGTCTGGCACAAGTAACGCCCCTGTTTTATTACAAAATCTTTTATTACAAAATCATAAGCATGTAATTCTGTAACATAACAATAGTGCACTGAAGCACACCATATGACATTTTAGGTGAAGTGTTCAAATTGAAACTATAAATTATTACACTCATATTATTACCCTACCAATCACAAGCAGACGTTACTTCTACCAGAACCTGTATACATATACATACACATGAGTATATGAATATATACTCACATATGTATTCCTTTTTAATGAACATATGTAAATATGCATAATTATGAATATATCTAACTCTATTCAGTATAGACATTGTCCTCTTGTAACTTGCATATGGTGGAGATCTTTCTATACCAACACATAGAAATTGATCTCACTTTTGAAAACTTTTTTTGTGGAAGTTAATGCTTACAGAAAAGTGCCCACATCATAATTGAAAAGCTTGGGGAATTTTCACAAGCTGAGCACATACCCACCAGCTCCCAGAGTATACTGATACAGAGCGCGGTGGCCTTCCAGAGCCCCTGTGTCTCTTTCTGACACAGCCCGCCACTCAAGGCAAAGGCAATTTTGCACTTTGTACATGGATAGAATCTATCCATGTTTAAAGTCTTTTATCAAAAACAAAGGTTTTCTTTGTTCAACTTTAAAATGCATTTGATCCATATTGTTGCATATGGTGAGTTCATTCATTGTCCTTGCTGTGCAGGATTACACTGTGTCGCTGTCCCTCCCTTTATTTATCCAATTTACTGTTGATCATCCCTTGGGTATTCTCAGTTTCAGACCATTACGGGTGGTGCTGCTATGAATATTCTAGTTCATGTAACGCATGTCTTTGGGGCATACCTAGGAGTGAAATTGCAGGCTCACAGGGTATGCATAGTTCCAGCGACATCAGGCCCTGCCAGTTTCCAAAGGAGTTGTAACAGCCCTCATTTTAATAGCTGTGTAGTATTCCCTCCTGTGGATGTGTCTTCATTTATTTCATTAGTCCCCAGACTCCAGATGTGTAGGTTTGTTGCTCCCCTTTGCTATTGCCAATCTGGGGAAGGAGGCACCTCGCCCAGCTTCTTTGCCTGCATGTCAAGTGTACACGTAGAACAACCCTCAAAGGTGGAGGCTCCACACCTAGGGTTGACACTTAAAATGTGTAGGGACAGTCCCTGACAAATTGTCTGAGGTGGCCTCTGATAGCATGGCCCCAGGCCCCTACACGCCCTCCAGCGGAAGCACAGACAGTCCGGGCCTGAGACCTGGACCTCCTGTTCCCCCGGGGCTACGGGGACGTGTCTGAGCCCTCTGGACATGCTGGATCTTCCTGGCTCTGGGCTGCGCCGCTCGGAGGCCAGTTTCCCCTGTGATCAAGGCCTTGGCTGTAAACCTGGAGAGCCAGACCCCTTGGTTAGAGAATTCTCCTCACTGTGTGGCTTGCTTGGCATGAAGCTCTGGGTGTGAACGGGCTGCCAGGCCTGGGCTCCTTCCTCCCGCCCTCGGGAAGTGTGTGCGCCCGCCTCCCTGGAATCCACTCAAGCCCCAGGCTGAGCTCCCCCACTGTCCCCATGGCTAATCCCCCACTGGGGCAAGTGAGCCCCACTGGTCTCCTTGGCGAAACAGCTCTTTGCCCAGGGCCTGGGCTGGGAGGAGGGTCTTGAGGCCGAGAGGCAGCGGGCTCTGAAGAAAGTCACGGGAGTGTAGGTCAGCCAGAGCCCTCACCCCTTCTCCGCGTCTGCCCCCTAATTCTGCCCCTCCCCTGTTCACAGTCATGACAGAGATCGATAATTTCGCTGGCATTGACTACAGCTTAATGGAGGCTCCCCAGGCAACAGCCCAAACGCTGGACGTGATGTTGAAGGTGAGGGTCCTGAAGCAGGGGCCTCAGTGGGTGCTGCCTCAGCATGGCATTTGCCCCTCAGGATCAGCTCTTTCTCGGAGCCTCCTGTTCCCCTGGTTTCAGATGTGTCCTCATCTGCCTGTGACTCCAGCAGTGTTGAGGGCAGGGCAGTGGGGAGCAGTGTGGAGCATTCCCAGAGCCAGGATCCCGTCACAAGTACCTGAAAACTCTCAGGTCTTGTGACTTCCCCTCCCTCTTTTTTCTCTCCTTCACCTTGTCCACCATGCAGATGAGGTCAGTCTGAGAGTCTGGCCAGCGGGTCCTGCGGGTTAATAAACCAAGGTTGGCGAGTTTTTTTATTAAAGGATTCTAGACAATTCTGGATGTGCAACACTTTGACCTAAAGGCAAATGAATTTACTGGCGGAGTTTCAGGCACTGTCTCTAGCCAGTGCCCGCTCATCAGGCTGTATTAGGTGACTACCTAGCACAGATGCCCAGCCCTGGGATAAACCTTGAAAATTTAAATGGGCCTTATTTTCTTTCTCCAGGCTGAAATTTTTAACCTTGATCATCGCTCGCCAGTTGCCTTCCTTGCTCCTGTCATGAGCCTTCCTGAGGAACACAGTCGAATGGTCTACTTTGCCATCTCCGATTACGTCTTCAACACAGCCGGCCTAGCATATCACGAGGCAGGGTACCTGAACTTCTCCATCACTGATGATATGGTGAGGATGATGTAGAATAATGCTTACAAAGGACAATGTACCCTGGTTTCCCTTCCTTCTGTCCTTTCTACCCCATTTACATCAGTGAAATCATAACTTATAACACGAAAAAAGGTCAAGACCAGGAAAAATATGTTAGCACAATTTCCCTTTTCACTTTGGCTGCCAGGAAGCTAAAAAAAATAAAATAAATCAAAGTTCTTTCTCTCTCCTAAAAACGGCGGAAGACTTTTTGCCTTGCTTGTCTGTGTTTTATTCCCCTCTCCCAGACTAAATCTGTTATTCTAATTCATATTTTCTCTCACTCTAATGGTTTGTAAGTTTTTTAAATGATTTTAGTGAATGAAATGCATAAAGTTACAAAGAATAGCAAATAAAGACCAAGTTAAAGGTAAAGCACAATTATGAAGATGCTGAACCCACAAATTAATTTTTTAATTACAAATCTATCTGGGAGCTTCCTTGAAGCCAAAGTGAAAAGGGTACATGATTCAGCGATCCATGGCGAAAAAGAGAGACAAAGTCTTCCTAGCATTTACCTCTAAAACAACTGTCTCAAATGTGGCTTTGTGTAAGGGATACTAAATTTTGTAGTAGATCACATTTTTGATATTTTTCATGTCTTTCATATTTCTCGTGTCTTTAATATTTCTGGGCTTCAGAAATATCTTGTAGCTCTTGTAGCTCATGAAGAATGTTAGGATGGTGGGGAAAACACAGGGTGGTCTGATTTGGAGGCTCCACTTTCCCCTGGTAATAAATCAGGGACTATCTGGTGGGTGGCTGGAGTGAATTTTCCCCTTTGAGTGATTTCTCACTCATGCATGGGGCTTTTCCTTCCTTCATTACAGCTGATTCACTGGTGCCGCCTGTGGCGCAGTCCTTTCTGTTGTGGATGGGATCACACAACTGTGTTTCATCCAGCACTCACTATATGCTAAGCCTTGTGCCAGATGCATTGTACCCACCATGTCACTGAGCGCCCCCCAGTGACCTGATAGGTGGGGGCTATGACTAACCCATTTTATAGGTGAGGAAGCTGAAGCTCAGAGGTGAAGGGAGTGGCCTGAGACCACACAGGGACAAAGCCAGGAGCCAAACCTAGGTCTGTGTGGCTGCCAATCTCACCTTCACGAACCCTCCGAGTCTGTCCCACATGTCACCTGTGCCCCACAGAGAGCAGAGAGTACTCACGGACTCATATACTTCTGTTCAGTGCAAGACAGGCACCTTGTCACATGGTAACCCTGGGTATTCAAGAAGCTCCAGTCCTAAGTACCCCCATTCACCGTCTCTTTCTTTAGACCTTCAGCTCCAGAAGGAGCACCCTGAAACTTCTTTGCATCTCTTTCCTGCAGGTTCCACCGACCTCTAACATCCGACTGACCACCAAGTCCTTCCGCCCCTTCGCCCCCCGGGTAAGGTCTCCCTCCACCCTCGGTGGGCGCAGGCTACCTTCATCGTTCCTCCTTAAAACCTCCGTGCTCCTCTCAGCTTGCACAGGAGTCAGGAGACCAGCAAAGAGTCCCCCAAGGAAGGCCGGAGTGCTGTGGGCTTTGGGACTCTCTTCCCTTCAGAGCCCCGAGAGCGCAGGCCTGAGCCCGGGTCTCCTGGGGCCCCAGGTTGCCCAGTCGTCTATTGGCGCTGAGAATCCCAGAAAATGCCACATGTGCCCTCATTAAAAACATCGATTAAAGAGGGCCTACTAGGGACCAGGCACTGTTCTTGATGCTTTAAAAAAATATTATTTTTTGACTGGATAATAAATTATCATGGTTTAACATTCAAATAACATAAAAGGCTAGAGAATGGAAGTCTCCTGTCTACTCCTGTCCCCCACCACCCAGTTCCCCTCCTGAGTCTGCCAACAGTATCAGAGTGTACGCATCCTCTGGGACACTCTATGTATATACCAACAGATTTGTGTGTCTTTCCCCTGTTTTTTTGCACAACTGGAGTCCTATTATACACATCATTTAGTACCTCATTTTTTTCCCCTTACTGTACCGGGAGATCATCCCATACAGGTAGATAAAACTCTTCTTCCCTCTCGTTTTCATGGGCGCCGGTCTGCTGTTGTATGGATTGACCAGAGCTTGTTTATCCAGACTCCCGCGGAAGCACATGAAGGTTGCATCCAGTCTTCAGCTTCATCGCTGTTGCAGTGAACGACCTTGTGGCTCTGTCATTGCTGGGCTAAGCTCTTCATGTGCAGCATCCCATTTAATCCTAGTGACATCCACCTGTCCTCTCCCCCACCTTCTGAGTCCCCCCGAAACTCAGCTCAGACAGGCTGTAGTGTTTAAAAGGCCTTGCAAAAAGCTTGATGATGGCTCAGAGGAATTATCATGATGGGAAACTTTTTAAACTTCAAGTCCTGCAGTGCCTGGGCTATGTCCTTCCATAAGGCACTCCCTACAGGCTCTTTCTCTTCGTAAAGCCCTGTGATAGCCCCGTCTGCACCATGTGGTCCCTGCCAGTTTTGGAGGGCCCTTGGCCACATCCTGCCTCCAGCACCACTTCTGCCCCAGAAAGCGAAGCAAGCTCCCCTTCCCCCTTCCTGCTTGCATCATATTCAGCCTGACAGAGAAGCAACTCAGCCCACCTTCTTACTAAAGAGGTTTACCTCCTCATGTTACTTTCTAAACATACAGTAGGCTGTAGATTTCACATTTGCATAACAAAAAGGCTCATGGGACTGTTGCGCTTTCATCGACTTTCCCCCCAAAAAGGATCAGCCCTGCCCCTATTAAACCCTGTTCCTACCCCTAGGTAAACAGAAAGTTATGAGCACTTTTGACATGGAAGGATCTGGTTGTGTCATATTTCAAATATATCAGCATCTGATCTTCGTATGTATAGTTACCTGACTGTGAGGAGGGTGTGCAGAAACCATAGCTCTTACCCATGCCCGGGGAAGAGGGGGGAGTGAAAAGATTGGGCCGATCTTTCTGGAGGAGAGTTTGGCAATTCCTGTCAGGAAGCTTTAAAAATATCCCTGCCCTTTGACTCAGTAATTCCACTTCTAGGAATGTACCTCTGTCCCGCCGCCCCCCATCCCCCACCAGTTCATAGCCAAGGGCACTCAGGGAGTGGTCATTATAATGGCAAAACCTTAGAGACAACTTGATGCCCAATAGGGTTAGATCCACGGCAGTGCACATGCACAACGGAAGACAGTGCAGCTGTGAAGCAGAGGGTGCAGACTCTATGCGTCTGACATGGAAAGATGCCCCATTACACCACTAAGAGAAAAAGGCACAGAGCATTTTACGGAAATAAAGTCAACCAAAAAGCATTCTCAGATTTCTATGACTCCCTCCAGGCTCTCCTAGCAAATCTGCATCTTTCCTGAGTAATCTCCTCATTCTGCCCCCAGTTAGCCAAACGCTACCCCAACATGAACTTGGAGCTCCAGGGAAGAGTGGCTTCTGCGCCCGTCCTGAACTTCAGCCCTGGGAACCTGTCTTTGGCCCCCCAAATGGAGGTTGAAGCCTTTGTGCTCCTGCCCAGCTCCGTCAAGGAGCCAGTCTTTCAGCTCAGTGTGGTAAGGTTTGCTTTTGCAAATGCTGTTCCTTTTTCCTCTACGCTTTTCTTCCCACTTACCACTTACCTGTCTCCTCCAGATTTCAACTCAAATATCACGTTCTCAGACAGGCCTTTCTTGATTGCCTTTACCTCAATCTACCTCGGGCCCCTTGTCATTGTTCTTTTGTAGCACCTTATTATTTTTCTTCATTACATTTATTATAAATATGTTTGTGCTTATGGAGCTGTTTGCAGGTTTGTTTAATGCATGTGTCTCCCACTAAGTGAGTCTGGGCCACTGTCAGGAGGAAGGTAGAGGGGTCTTTGACCTGTTCGCTCTGCGCTATATCTATGTCTGACTCCGGAAGACTGCATTTCCCTGGATCCCTTGCAGTCTGACTTCTAGCTAGGTCAGCCAACAGAAGGCACTGTCAGGAGAATGGGGCGCAGGTGGAAGGAAGAAGCCAGAGTATTTTCCCCCCTCTCTTTGTCCTAGACAGAGACTTGGGAGAGTGACTATGTCGCCTCCATAGTGGCTCCCACAACCCCAACTTCCTCTGTGCTTTCGGTCTTGGGGTGGAAGCAGCTTCTTGCCTCTGCTAATCTGTGAGTTGCTTCTTCAACTCCTTTTATGGTTTCTCAGCAATTCCATCACTTGTATAACCAACTCCCTGCATTAAATTCTCCCTGACTTAAATATTGAGAGAATTCCTCCTTTCTCAATGGACCCTGTCTAATAAAGAAGGGATTCTGAGCCTTTTGGGGTTCCTGCTCACCAGATGGAGAATTTTGCTTTTTATTTTATGTTTGAAAGCCAACGAGTAAATATGTAGAAGAATAGTTGCACCTAAGTCCTATTCCTGCAACTTGATAGTTATTATTATGAAAATTGTTGTTATCAATATAAGTTAAATTAAAACAATCTATTATTATTATTATTATTATTATTATTATTATTATTGCTGAATCATAGCCCTGAGATAGCTAGAAATGGCCCCTTTTAGAGATCTCCAGGGATAGGCACTCTACACTTTCTCTCGGTAGTCTGATCAAAGTTTAATTGTTATTATAGTCAACAATTTCAAGTAAAAATATTCAAGTTCAAGTTCAAACTTATCGAACACTTACAATAAGCTTTCTGGGAGTCTATAGTCTAGTGGGTGAGTTCCTGCTTTAATTCATTGAGCTGCTTGTTGAGAGAAGATAGCTGATCTTCATGGTTATCCATCATGTGCATTGAGACCTGTTTCCCTTTACTGGAATTTCCAGGCCATTAATGTATCCGCCATGTTGACCTTCAACACCAGCAAGATCACTGGGTTCCTGAAGCCAGAAAAGTAAGTGAGTCTCTCACCCACTTGGGGGCGCTCAGCCGAGCTTGCTCTGTCTGGCCCTGTAGCTGCTTCTCACTGGAAGTGGGGGTGTGAGGAGATCCCCCTGTCAAAGTTAGGGGCTCACCATTTCAGAGGGAAACTTCAATTTTAGCCCAGTTGGCCAAATTCTTTTGCCCCACCAGCCCTGCTTCTACAAACTTCCTTTCCAACTAAACCCATTACTTCCAATCTTCTATAGGATTGACTAATACTGCCTTGTCTTAATCTGTGAGTATTAAGACATCAGCCATACTGGCTTCCTGAAGTGATAGAGACTGAGCTCTCTTACACCGCCCACCTCCCCTCTTTGAGTCTTCCCAGTGAGGTACTATCATTGTTTTTGGTTACTCAGTTCAGTCATCTTTTCCACTCCCACCCCGACCCTACCTTTGGCCCTTCTCAAGCCAGGGCCTCCCCCTTCCTGGGAACTCCCACATTGCTCAGGTCACCCATGGGACACCACATGTCTGAATTGCCTCTGATTCGTTATAGGATACAAGTGGAACTGAAAGAATCTAAAGTTGGAGTATTCAATGTAAGCTATTACTGTTTTTATTTATAAAATTATTGGGGCGTCAACTAATTCAGAATGTTTACTAAACACAGCTGTAGCACCTAGAGTAGAAAACAGAAAAGGAGAAGAGCTGCTCTCTGCCCAAGTGAAAGTTACATCCCAGTATAAGACAGTAAATAATTAAATCTTCTATTGGACCAAGTTCTTTGAACTTCAAGAAATAGAAAGCCAACTAAAAGTGTCTTAAGAATATGAGAGGAATGGATGGAATCATAGAATTAAAAAACAAAAACAACAAAGAAAACTAAGGATAGAAATTTCAGGCATAGCTGGACCTAGGTGCTCAAATTAATGCTTCAGGAATCTCTCCGCAGCCCTGGCTGGTGTGCCTCAGTGGCTGGAGCATGATCCTGTAACTGGCAGGGTTGCAGATCGTATTCCTGATCAGGGCACATACCTGGGTTGCAGGTTTGGGTGTGTACAGTCGGGTGTGTACAGTCCTGGGTCCAGGTGTGTGATGTCTGGTCTCCACACGTGGGGAAGGCAACTAGTCAGTGCTTCCCTCTCACAGATACTTATCTCTTCGTCTCTCCATCTCTCTCTCTAAAAGCAATGAAAAAACAAAGTCCTTGGGTGAGGATTAAAAAAAGAAGAATCTCTCTACCTCTTGGTGAAAACCACCCAAATTTCCTGTAGTTTCATTTTATTTAAATCTACCCCCAAAATAACAATCATTGTGCTAGCTCTCATTGGATCAGTCTTGGCCACGTGTCCATTCTTAGGCAATCAGGGTGGCCAGAAATTCGACAAAGCCGATCGGCCAAGGATGGGTTTCCTGGAGTCAGAATTTGCAATCTGCACTGAAATTGGATAGGAGGGTATTCCAGGAGGGGAATAGGGACTCTGTTATTAAAACAAGAGGAACTGATTGCTGGGCACACAAAAACAAGACATGATTTCCACAAAGAGGAAGATGTGGTGAAATAGATGGCTCGCTATTAAAAGAGGGAGGAGAATAGGAAGATCAGTGTGGGCTGAAGCAATCGCGGTGAAATGTCTGTAAAGGGAGAAGGCGCGGTGATGGCAGCTGCCCCTCACAGGCGGAGGGGGAGATGGGAAGACTTGAACGTGCAGCAGTTGTTTTCCTCTTTGCAGTCCCAGGGACGCTGACTTGCCCTGACCACCCTCACCCAGTTCTCCTCTCCCCAGACTTGCCTTTGAGTACTTACATACCGTGTGGGGAGAGATACCGCCCACAGGGACCCAAAGGAGCCTGCTTTTAGAGAAGAAAGTGAATAATGCCACACTAATATCGTATCTGTGTATGGCATGTAAAAATGTTCTATAAAGTAAAACATATGTAAAGATTCACAAAAAGTTAGCCAGCAGGATTTTGGAACATGGATGTAAAAAGCAAGACCTATAGAATCAGACAAATCTGGATTCAAATCCTGGCCCCGCAGCCCAGTTTCTAACAAGCCACTTTCATTCTGTTGGCCTCAGTTTTCTTACCTGTGAAATGGGGGCATTGATGTCAATGTAAAGCACTTATTGTGAAGACTGAAGCATATATATAGTGCTCTGAACCCTATCTATACCTGCCACACGATGAGTGTTAAAAATTGTGTTTCTTAATTTTTGTTTATTACACAAGTAATTCAGGAAAACACTTACTTAAATGAATACTTAAGATAAGGCTAAGCCAAACCTTGACATTCTTCCTAGAGGAAAGACGGTTGGGTGTGTCGTCTTCCAACATTTTTCTATCCCTTTGCACACGTACAAGTGTACATCTAGAAATAGTTTTATCTTGTAGTAGCATGAGATAGGTATCTATCTGAAGTTTGCTTTTTTCAAGCCTTTGTGATGTTGGCACATACAGAACCACCCACCTCCATAGTGGCCATGTGGAGTTTTACTGGTGGGCAAGATGGCACATGTGGTCACAGGTGGGAACACTGTGACCACTATGATCACCAGGTGAACACTGTGACTATATGTGACATTCTCCTGTTCTCCACCAGGTGGAGCTGCTACAGGGGCTGCTCAACTACTACCTTCTCAACACTCTCTACCCAGAGGTCAATGGTAAGAATCACTCTGGATTTTTCCAAGTCAAGAGTAGACACTACTTTTGAGGGGAAAGAGAGCTGGACTAGGAGTTGGGAAACAGGGCTCTCCTGCAGGCTATGAGACCTTGGGCAAGTCACTGCTCTGTGAGCGTCAGCAGCCTGTCTTTGCAATGGGAGTGTTGAAGTCAACCTCATCTCCCTCCAGGGCTTAATGAGGGTTGGGGACCAGGGCAGCTCTTTGGAGCCCAGGAAACTCTTTCTAAGAGAAGTAGAGACTCACAGAAGTGCCCCTACATCCTGAAGAGGCAAGTGAAAGACTAAGGGCCAAGTTAATATAGAGAGCACAAGGCAGCCCACCTCTGAATTCATGTTTCTGTGTCAATTACCAACTCCCTAGTCAAAAAATAAAGCATAAAGAGTACCCTGTGTTCATCATGAAGCTCTACTACATTTGGCTGCAACAGAAAGCAAGGTAAGGGTGGAGGACAGAGAGCAGATGCCAGAGCTTCTGTCATGAGTGGATTCTGTCCCATACTTACCACTCCTTCCATACAGCCTCATGGCTGCAAGCTCAGCCTCCTGTGGCAGCCTTCTTGAGCTTACATCCCAGTTCTGCCCCTTTCTAGCTGTGTGACCTAGGATAAGTTACTTGCCCCTCTGTGCCTCAGTTTCCTTATCTGTAACATGAGAGTACACATCTGCCTGATAGTCTTTGGTGAGATTAAATGAGAATATGCTGTGTATAGAGTTTGCACAGAGGTCTTTTTTTAAAAAAAAAACAACTTTGTCTATAATTGTTATTTATTAACAAATCTCTCTCACTGTTGTGCCTCAACCTCCAGAGAAACTGGCAAAAGGCTTCCCCCTTCCTCTGCTAAAAGATATTCAGCTCTACGACCCTGTTCTCCAGATTCACAAGGTCAGTGGGCTGGGGGGTGGGGAGCTCGGAGGACGTGGGGATGGGGATTGTTCACCTTGCCAGGTTCTGAGACCAAAGTTCAGTGAGTGAAGCCCCGCCCAGCCCTGCAGCCCGGAAAACCTGGACTGGAGTGGGAAGCTATCAGCACGGACAGATGCCCTGAAGCCACCCACCTGTCCTTTAGCAGTGGCAGTTCTATTGGATGGAGGGGTAGTGGACACGGTCTGTGCTACACTGCCTTCTCTCCCCACCCCCGCAAATGGCCTGGGGTAACCTCAAGGCCAGCTCATTTTAAAATACTGCAATCCTAGATATGCTAACAGGCCAAGCTCTAAAAATGGAAGAGCTTTATTATAAATATATGTTTGGGGTGCTCCCCCCATAGACCCATTGCCCCCACACATGCCCACAGTTTGAATTTTGGGGGACTCCTTTCAGTACTTTTTACTTCTGTATGCATTTAAAAAATTATTTGTGAGTGTCGAATAGTTGCATGCTAGGGCTCATGCGTGTGTTCTTTCTTTTCTTTCTTTTCGTTGCAGTCTAGTCCCCTCCCCCCATGCCCAATGTTCAGTACTGCCCCACCCATCAGATGGACCATAATTTACTTAGCTATTTTAATACCAAGGAATGTATCTGATTCTTCGCTATCGTCTCCGCTATTCTGATCAAGCATTTTATGGTCCATCTGTGCCGCACAGTTCAGGTTATCTTTCTAGAACAGCACCTGTAAGGCGGGATGACTGGGGTGATGGGCTTGTGAGCGTTAAAGGAGATGCTGCCTTGTGCCCGCACGTCATCCACATCCAGCAAAAAACAGCTGCGGAAGAGAGCGAAGGGCAGCAGCATAGTCAGGAACACTGAAGCACTGACCAACTGGTGCCCTTGAAAATCAAAGGTCCAAAAGTCTTTCGGGCGCAGAGATACTCAACACCCTGAGTGTTCACAAGGAGTCAGACAGATGGTTGTTCAAAGCAAAGCCTCAGTGACAATTCATGCAGCTGGCCTCAGTTTTCTCTTCTGTAAAATGGCGTGAAGCCCAAATCCCACTGGGATCCTGTGAAGAAGAGAGACCAAGTAGGAAAACTTCTAGCTCGGTTTAGCATACGGGAAATCATGGGAGGATTTATTATATGCTATCATAGTCATTAGAATTTTGAGGTCAACTCTGTCCCTTTATTTGATGCCCAAAGGCAGGAGAATGTATTGCTAAGGGAAAGAATAGGACTTTGCCTTGAGTTCAGAATTTCCACCCCTTGGGTGATGGAAACCTACACAGGGGTAGGAGCGCAAACCCTGGCAGCTCACAGTTTTGTATTATTTGCCCAAGAGAGAATATCTAGGTGACACGAAGGACATTTATGAGGCCTGCCAGGAAGCAGCAGCTTGGGAAATGGCAAATAAATCGCTACCTTAGAGAAGGTAGCTGGCAAAAGCTGTGCTTTATGGCCACCTTGGGGACGAGGCACACTAGCAATTTATGCCCGACCTGGCCCCTGGCAGGGCTCACGTTTTCCCAGCCGTGGGCCTCCTTTAAAGTCGGAGGTGCCTCTTTTTGGAGTAAAGGATGCATTACCATCCTGTTCTGTCTTGTCTCTCCTAGGACTTCCTGTTCTTGGGCACCAATATCCAGTACCTGAGGGTCTGAGGGCAAGGAGAAAGACGGGACTCGGAGGCTGCAGCTGGACCAGCAAGTTGCATTTCCAGATTTGCAGGATATTCCCGGAGATTCTGGGAGGATGAAGACTCTTCTGTCCTCAGCTCTGGGGGCGAGGTCTGCCTGGCCTCTGCCCCACACGCCTCCTCTTCGGGAGGTGCACCCATGTTCTCTCAGACTCTGAAATTTACTTTCCCTGCCAGGGCAGACCATCCTCCTCCCTGGCCTGTATGATCTTTAAGGGCAGGCATTGCCTTTTTATTCGCCTGTTGCTCCCCTTGCACAGTGCGGGCGCGTAGTAGGTCCTCAATAAATATTTATTGAATGATTCCATGAAGGAACCACCTGGTACTCTAGCTGAACCTCCCTGTTGCCCACGCTCTTTTGCCCATGGGATCGTCAGATGGTCAGTACCATCTGTGGTCTCCAGCGTTCAACCGTGAGCGCACGCCCCTGTCCCCTGGGCTGCTGCCGTGGGGACCTCAGGGAGAGAATAAGGGATTCCACTCCCCACTCAGCCCTGGGCCTGGCACCGATGCCCGCTCTCTAGGGGACTTGTCCATGTTGGTTTATGGGCAGTTCATAGGCTCATTTTAATATATGCCTCCACCCCCTCACTTCTGGCCTGCTACAGACGTGGAGCCAGGGCGTCTCCCAGAGCAAAAATTCAGCCTCCTGCTGCTTTCCCCGTTGAAATGGGTATAAATTAGGAGGAAATGAATCTGTCTAGGTTTTTGGTCCAACCCAAATAAAAAGCTCACGCACCTGCTGTTTATGAGCCCCCAGCCTGGAGGAAGAGGCCATAGTTTCTAATTATCACACAACCAGACTCCGATCAGACTTACTAACGAGTTGTTTCCAAGTTATGTAGTTCGTTCCCCCCGGGACTGGGAATCAGAAGGCTCGTTTGATAATTTTTTTATTGTGCTAATGAGCAGCTGGATGGAGCTGCCGGCTAGCAGATAATTCACTGGGAATAGACCCATTTACCCAGTGTGTGACAGAGACGCGTTCCGAAATGGGACGATGCTCTGGCACCAGCTGCCGGCAGGGGAAGCCTTGGCTTCCCCTCCTCCCGCCTCGTTCCTCTGGCCCGCTTTTCTCACCATCCTCCATCCCTGCTGGGGACTGCAGAGGGACTCGGGCTTCCTCCAGCACTAGCCATGTGGCCTTGGACAGGTCCCTTTCCCCCTTGGGGGCCTCATCTAGGAACTAAGGATGATGTGATGGTAGCTGCTTCCTAGAGCTGTTATAATGATGATGTTAAGTGACCCATATGAAAGGATTTATTGAGCCATGGTGGGGATTCACTATTTCTTGGCTGGAGGTGCTTACCAAGCACCTCCTACGTGTGGGCTCCGGGTTGCTCGGCATGGGGTAAATGGAGGCAGCTCAGACTCCGTTCCAGTCCCTGCCCTTAAGAGCATCACCTCAGATATGGGGGAAAGAGCCCATTTGGATTCCAGTGTACTTGCTTGGAGCCCCTGGCAAGGCCTCGCTAAACCTCAACTGTGGCCGAGGACCCCTCCTTTCAGAGCGACGAGGGACTTAATGGCGTCATGTCAAGCATCTGGGGATGCCCAGAGCATAATCAGGTCCTGGTAAATGGTAACAACCACCTGCTCACTTTGGGGCCCCCCAGAAGCAGACCCCGAGGCAAGGAGGGAGAAGATTCCAGGAAGTACCAACAGAAAGAAAACGAGATGGGGATAGGGAGGGGACGCAGCCTGAGAAGGGCGTGTGATCAAACCGCTTACCACCACAGGTGACCGGAGCTTAACCCCGCTGCCAAACTGGGAGCCAGTGTAGAGCACTCTTCAGAGCATCCACCCAAGGGCCAAGGGAGCTGGGATATTTATACGCCATCCCCCACCAGTTACTGTTTGAGGGGGACTCCCGGGAGACATTAGTTCTCTGGTTCATCTAGTCTGAACAGAGTGGGCAGACTAGAAACTTCTCAGGCAAAGAAACGCAAGCGTCCAATGCACCTCTTCCCTTGGCTGATTTTAACTGGTATCCTTTCCCTTTAACAAACTGTATCATGAGTATAACCCCTTTCCATGAGACCTGTGAGTCTTTCTAGTGAATTCTAGAACTCACGAATGATTGTGGGGACCCTCAAGCTTGCGGCTGGTGTCAGAAGGGAGGGTGCTCTGTGGACTGGGTTACATCTAACTTCATTCACAAGGGGTCTCCTGTTCTCTGGCTCCTCTAGTCAGCGGACCCACTGCTGGCCTCAGACACTGAACACAAGGCCGGTGACACTTGACACCTGTTCTCTGTGGCCTGGCTGAGCCTGGAGGGCCCCCACTTCCTGCCCACAGCTGGCTCATCCTCAGCTTTGCTCTCGCTGGTGCTACAGACCCTGTACTGCTCAGGCTCCCTAACTGCACACTTCAGAACCCTCTCTGGGTAGTATAAGCAGATAGGGGATTTCAGCCTCCAAGTCTTTGAAGACCATCAGTGGCTGCAATCACCCTCATGTAGGGTAAATCCTCACATAAAGTCTTCATAGGTTCTGTGACTTCAAAACGACATACAATGAGACCAATTTTACCATTGATAGAAACGAGAATTAAGTTCCTATCGCCTCTCATAAGCATTATAACAAAATGATGTTGAATGAAACAACAACATTCAAGGACCTGCGGTATATGTCTTTGGTCCAGACCTCTCTTCTGAGATTCGGACCTGTCCCCTAACTACAGGCTTGACGTCCCCCTTAGGCAGACTGGATTTGGGGGCTGCACCTGGCTCATGTGACAGGAACCTGTAAAGGCGTCCTGAGGAGTCTGGTGCATAAATCGCTCCCCCGCCAGCCCCCAGCACATCTGCCTGGGCTGGCTTCGCCCAGCCAGCGAGCGGAGGAATGCTGGTAGTAAAACATAGCAACACAGAAGGCTGCTTTATGGGCCAGAAGAAACGATTTCCCACCTGGGGCCACTAAAGAATCCAAGCTGAATTCTCAGCTTCCCTTAGAGAAGGCTTTTCTCTCGCTGCAAGTGATCTCACGGGGCCCTTAGGGCAGGCCTGTCAGCAGAAACCCCAGGGCGGGGAGGCTGTTTGTAAATGGACGCTCTCACCACGGCCATTCAGGGTTAGGCCCAGAGCCCCCCTGTATCCCCCAGACCCAACCAAGCCGAGCTTGCTTTCAGCACCTGCCACCCCCTGCCACCCCCCACGCCCAGCAGGCTTCTGGATCTGCAGTCCAATCGAGAGTGCTTCTCTAAGAGCTGCCCCTGCACAGAATCATTCTGAGCCAATATTAAATGGCTAAAATAAAAAACACCGACAGAATCTAAATAATGGCAAGAACGTGGAGTAACTGGAACACTTGCCCATGGCCGTGGGAGTGTGAATTGGGAGATCCAGAAGGATCTGCTAACGCCGAACATGCATGAACCAGAAAGCCCGCTCCTCCAGGACACCGAACTGAAATGGCTGCATATGTGCAACAAAATAAAGCATTCTTTATAATAGCCCTTCACTGAAAATAACCCAAATGTCCACCAGTAGTGAACAGATGAATTGCGGAATAATCACATAATGGAATAGAAAACAGCACTGAGCACAAATCGACTTCAACTGCATGCAGTAACATAGACAGATCCTGCAGACAGGATGCTGAGTTAAGGACTCCTGACACAAAAGGGTGCGTGCTATTTGATGCCATTGTTCAAAACCGGGCCAAACACATTCACGAAAGTCAAAGTCAGGGGGTGTTCATGCTGCCAGAAACAGGTAACTGGAAAGGACACAGGAGTCCCCTGGGATTTGGATACCGTTCTGCTTCCTGACCCCGGTGCACGTTCCCATTGTGAATATCCACCTGTGCACACGTATTATTTGCACACTTTTCTGCACATATGTTATACTTCCAAGAAATATGCATAAGACACGTCTGTATTTATGAGGCTTCTTATAGTGTTTTTGATTACTTAGCTCCCAATAAAGTTCCATTTTCCCAGATTTATTCATGCAATATAACAGACGCACGCCATGTACAGGCTGTTCATCATGGCATTGTTTGAAACAGCAAAACAATAACAAAATACAACAAAACAAAAACCGAAGACAACCTGTGTGGCCCTTGATAAGGAAAGGTAGATAAATTACGGGGCACGCATGCAAAGGGATACTACGCAGTCTGAGAAGAATGACCATACGCAGCAAGCACAAAAAGCAGCCAAAGGCATCTTTAGGTGGGAAGAGTAAGCCAGGCAGACACAGTAGTACCTCCTTTTACTGATTTAAAGTGATAAAGACACATACATATAGGCTTATATGTATACAGAAAATTTTTAGGAGCTTATCCAAAATACTGGGGAAAAAAGCAGTTCTGGAGAGTGGAAGTGAAGCGTTTGTAAAGTTGGGAAGTTATTATTTTCCTTCTTAGGCCTGTTTGGATTTTTTACACAAACAAATATGACTTTCGAAAAATGAAAACGTGCATGCCCTTCCTCTAGGGAACATGGCCCCACCTTTCCCTTTCTCCCTTTCTCTCCTCTGCCTTTCTCTCCCTTACTCCCTCTGTAACTTTCTAAATAAACCTTCTCTTATAATTTGAAAAAAAAGAAGTAAAAATAAAAAATTTAAAGATGTAAATCAAAGTAATTTAGGCACACGCTTAAATAATCAACTATACAAAAGGTCTTATATGAAGCTGCCATGGTCTCAAAGGGAAAAACTTCATTCCTTAAGGGTTTCTGTTTTTAATTCTTTTGATGGATATTTCTAAACAATTGAGTAATGGTCCTATTTCTCTTTTTTATTTACCAATGTTAAACAAAATTATTGACTTTGTGAGGATTAAGCTGATTAAGTTGCCCTGTTTAACGTCCCTAATTGTCCTAGCTAGGACTTCCAGTACTATGTTGAATAGAGGTGGTTAAAGTGTGCATCCTGGTTTTGTTCCTAAAATCAGAGGAAAAGTTTTCAGTATTTCACTGTTGAATATGATGTTAGCGATGGGTTTTTCATATATGGGCTTTATTATGTTGTATTAGTTTCCTGCTTTTCCTAGTTTGTTGGGTTTTGTTTTTTTTTTATCATGAAAGGTGTTGAATTTTGTCAAATGCTTTTCCTGCATCCATTGAGATGATTATGTGATTTTTAGCCTTTGTTCTGTTAAGGTGGTATATGATTTGTGTAGGAGTATGTTGAGCCATCTTTGCATCGTATGGATAAATCCTACTTAGTCATGGTGTATGATCATTTCAATGTGCTATTGAATTCGATTTGTTGGCATTTTGCTGAGGATTTTTCACATTTGTAGTCATAAGAGATATTGGCCTGTTGTTTTCTGTGTCTTTCTCTGGCTTTGGCATCAAGGG